AAAAGTATATTAGCTCGTCTTCCATAACATTCCTCAACACTTTCTTAGGCTCTTCGAACACGTTTTCTTTCATTACGTTTAAAAGCCCTAGCAGCTCCACTAATATTCTGCATTTTATAGCGTGAAAATTCAATGCATAAATAAACGCGAAATATAAAAAAATTCAATGAGTTCAATACAAACACTTAGACGTTTAGGTAGCTCCCAGTAGAAAAATATCAATTCAACAGCGGCCTTTTAAAGCATTCTCACTTCAATTAATTAATTAATTCCTAATTGAGTTTAAATTAAATATTATCATGTTTTTAGGGCATGAATCTGAATTGAACAACCTGATAATGCTCACTCTGGTTATTGTTTCCGTTTTTAAAAGCGCTATGTGTTGAGCCACCTCATTTAGATTTGCCATGTGACATTTTTACCAGCAATCATTGGTCGATTTTCTGACGTTGCCATTCGAGGAGTTGTAATGAGGCTTTTTTTTGGTGCCGTGTAAGAGAAATATATATATATATATATATGTGTGTGTGTGTGGGAGTTAGTGCAGCATAGGAGTAAATAACGACGATAATTTAACAACATAACAATTTAATAGAAATAAAAAGGATAGAAGGATATCCCTAGAGAGATTTGTCTTTATTAAAACATAAATGCGTGTTATAACTAATTCGTTTATCTCCGATTCACTTCTTTCCATTATGTTTGTTTCCCTGTTTCCTTCGTTTTGTTTTTCTATCAAACATAGTTTTTAGCCCAGCTATACAAATTTTAACTATTATGCACTTCAGAGAGTTTATCTTTTTCGGCTAAATACGAGTCTGCTCTTGAGTACTCCTCTCTCGGGTAAAGACCTTTTTTTTTGCTGCAGATTTTGTAAAATATACCGTTTGATTTTGATAACATAGTGAGAACATAATACATTTTGTGTTGGGCGCAGTATCGTGCTATGAAATTTTAAACCCAAAGCAATTGTAGAAAACTTATGAATTAAGGGTATACATACATTTATAAAAGTTTGGATTTGATTACAATACGATTTTTTTTCGATTTTTGTAAAAAGCTTGTTCACGTTTGGATTATTTCAACAGCATAACTCAAATGTTTTTTTTTCTTCTTCTTGAAACTTATTTTAGCAATCATCTTAGTTTTTTTAATTTTACAAACAAGTTTATTTTAATAAACAATACGTTATTGACGTGAGAAAATATATTTTCTGCAAAATAGTTGTATGATAATATGCATCGTTCTACCACTTGATCGATTTGATTACACCAACTAAAGGAAAGTTTTTTTTTTCTCTATTGTTAAATTTTTTATTTTATTTTATTTATTTAATAAATGAATTTATTTATTAACTTATTTATTCATTAAACAAATGAATTTATTTATTAACTTATTTATTCATTAAACAAATGAATTCAACTTATTTAACAGCATGCCCGTGGGCAAACAGGAAATGTTCCCACCAGATATTACAGATCTGTTTTATATGCAAACAAAAACGCACATAATATTAATAAGCTATTTAAATACGAAAAAAATAGTACTTACACTTGTCCATTCGCATAGATAGCAGTAGTGTAATGAAGTTATATTTAAAATGCCCTTTCAATGTGACATTTAAAGGATTCTTTATAATCTAATTATTGTTGAAACAGAAGTAAAAATTCACGAAGTTTTACTCGTGAGAATAAAGAACTATTTTCGTGCCTATGTCAATACAAAGAAAAAAAAAAGAGATAAAGAGATAGAAAGCTTTAAATTCTAAAATTTGCATACATTCTACGTCTGCAAACAATGACTATTTACACGAGTGCGAGAACATCTTTTTCGCATGGTAAGATCTAAAAAATCATTTGGTTTAATTACTTTATTTGATTCAGCCAGATGCATTATTCTAATTGTTGCCTTGTTAAGGCAGGCGACTTTTCCACACCTAGAGTTCGTTGAGTCGATCAGAATGGAACTTTTTAAGCTGTTTAGTTAAATAGGATATATTTTATTTATTAAAACTCAGCTATTTTTAAAAAAAAATGTTTGTCACTGTCAACTTTTATGCGTAATTTGCTTTGACACGACAAAAACTACTGAAATTTGAATTTGGTGCATATAATCATGCTTAAATTTTTCTTCTTTGTGTATAATATATTTTTATGGTGAAATAATTATTCGTCAAATACTATATTACGATCTATCGAATACAAAATATTAAATTACTTAAAGTGGCTCGCTTCAACAATTCGCTGTTTGCTTATGTTAGTATGAGTTAGCTAACATAAACGTAAATTCACGGTCGCTATTTTTTTGTTTATTTATTTGAGTTTCTCTAAACTTTTTTAAGAAATATTGCTAAGTTGCGTTTAAGCCATTAAATGCAGCATTGAGCATAACAAATGCAACCTAATTCATTCAACTAAATAAAACATGAAATACTTGTAAAAATAAAATTCGTGCAAATAGTTCATAAATATCTCAATGTTATGAGTTTTAAGACTGAGAATTTGTATGCTTTGTTTGCGACTTTACTAAAGCCTTATTACAAAAGCTTTAATGATAGACGAATTTAACTAATTTGAAAACTGTCTCCGTACACAGTGAAAAGTAAACGTCTGAATGGCTGGAATGAATTTTGAATGATATAGTCACAATTGTATATTATAGTAAAATCACAATGATTTACATGGCAGACTGCTGATAAAAAGCTTTCGTGATTGAGGGTCATTTTATCTAAAATTTATATTTCAGGAGTATTAAAAAACATATATGTGAAATCTTCCGTGATACATCAAGATTTACAAATTTGTTCCAGTTTAACACTGACTTAAGAGTTAAAAGCAAAAGACACAGGACATTCGGTTTTGTTTAAAATTTTAAAAAAGCGTTGAAAAAGTATACCTTTTTCAATGCAGCTTTTATCTCCGGCTTACAACATTTGTACATAACATTCAATAAGAAATTCAATGAATATCCATTTCGTATCCATTGATCGCTATACATCAAGTGAACGTCTAGTGCACATCTATTGCACATTTTTAAGCTAAATTATTCGATGCAATACTTTTAATCCAATTGTTGATACGTAATTTCTCTTTATTTCAGGTAGCTCACCGAAAAAAGAATTATTCCATCATCTGCGCCATGGTTCTCATAAGCATAACTTAGATCAGAATCACACTGCTTCTCGTGATTTTGGCGCCGCAAGTGATGCTCCATTGAAAGAAAACAATTCGCGTTCTGCCATCCAGGGTATTTCTGAAATGCCGAACCAGAAAATGAAGGGAAGGATTCGTGTACCAATGAGGGCTTTAGTATTTGGGCGAGACGCACTAAGTTTTGCACCTCAAAGAGTTCGTGGACCCAGTACGTTAAGACTTGGTGAAAATGACTCATGGGTTACTTTTCATTCACCTGAAAAAATATTTATACCTGTGAGAACAAATAATGGTAAGAATTAAACTGTTATAAACATAAATTTTTTAACTAAGAAATTTCAAAACAGTGGAGAAAATAAATGATGAATTTTTTTTTATCAAGATTAGAATCGGAATCAAAATTAAAGCACCTAAAACACGGAATTTTAAAGCTTGCTATAACATATACATCTATTTTTACATTAAAAATAAGCAACATCATTATATGAGTGCCAAGACATCGTTTTGGCACTGAGAAGACGACGCTTATTATACAGCTAATATGCTTTAAATAAGGCTTTAATTCGTATTTTTTTAAAATTTATTTTAAAATATTTCTCGATAAAACCTGTAAATATTGACTTGCAAACATATGCTTTGTAGATGCTATGGCATGAAGTAACCGTTAAAAGTCAAATTAGTTTACGATTGTTTGCGATTGTTTGATTTCAAATAAAAGTTAAGTTTATAAATAATTTCAATTTTTTGACATGTATTAATGGAGCCATCATTATTTTGTATGAAGTTCAAAAACACCTTTATTTGAAAAATACTACTTTGTTTTACTTTTTAGTATTTCAAAGAAATATTATAAAAACTCTTGGGTTCTAATCATAGATGTATGTGATCGACCCAAAGAGAAAATTCTTTATAGAAAATAATAATTCGTTATCGAGTCCATGTTGAAATGTTTAACTTTAAAGTGTTAAATTGTTTACGAACAAGATAAAGATAGATCGATGTAGAAGATGCTGAAAAAAATAAAATTTTTTGGAGACAATTATTCTTAAAATGAAATCAAAAGTGCATGTGATCGATGAGTGAAAATTATTTTACTAACCAAACTATTACTTGAGATCCGGTGATTTAAAAATTTTCAAATTTATTAGTTATGTTTAAGGTTTTACCTAAATTGTAGTTGTGCTACTTTTTTAACATTACTTCTAGTTTTAATTTTCATATATTTCATATCGTATATTTGTAATTATGAAAAATACAAGTTTCTTTTACATCTATTCTGACGAAATTTTCAGCACTTGATTGCATTCAGTGTCCAACGAACATTTCTGTTCAAGTACCTCCAAGGCAGACAATGGCAAAAATTCCTGTTCCGCCAGTTTCTATTTGCTCCGAGTAAGTGGTATCTTTTTTACTCCTTATTAACTGTGTTACAATTTTTGATTTGATATATTCAATACTTTTAATTTGTAAGAATCGTCCTCCCCCTTTTTTCGCTTCAGAGTTAGTTTATAACAACGTTTGATCACTTTACCTGACGTATTGTCGTTCATTTTTAATGTTTGGGACAATATAACTGATGTAGGCTCTTATTCATTCGACGACTCAACTATAAAACATGTTTTCATAGTCTCGTATGCATATACATGTATTTTGTATAGATTGAGAAACATCTGATCTTATATAAAATCAATTTTCTTCGAAAATATTTAAAAACATTTCGTATAAAAATACACTTACGAAAAATAAAGGTATTGAATGAGAAATGCACTTTATAATAGTTGATTAAATAAAGTATTTTAAACCGCATCTATGAGCACACTGGCATGAGATTTTTTGAATTTTTTTTCTATAATATTTCTACTTATTTTAAAAAGTCGTGTTTCTTTTTATTAAAAAAAATAAAATAAAAAATACAAACCTTACAGTTTGTTTATTTTCCCTTCAGGTTGCTTTTTTTAAAAATTTTTTTTGGCAATTTAGGATGCAAAGATATTAATTCTTCTCAAGACACTGAGCATTATTAATTAATCTTTTTATGATGGCTTTTTTTAAAAATTGAGATACCGCAAATTTTTAGATACCGCAGTGAAGAAACTGATAAATAGTTTATTGTTGTCATCCATATTTCCCTAACTAGTGCTATACAGTGATCGATATGGCTGTAGAATAAGCTTTAAGATTCTATGAAATTGTAAACGCTATAAAATCTTATTTCTCAAAAAGCCGTTAAAGTGTGCAGTCGTCAGTATTATCTTCATTTCATCACCAACCGTTACGAATAAACTTGCTCCGATCACATAATTTAATGCATAAGTGCCACGACAGGCAGATCGAAAGGATTATGAATGGGTAGAATAATAATAGACCGAAAAGTTTATGAATGGACCTGATCAAGCCGTATTCTTAACGGAAGAATCGAAGCAGATCAAAAACTTTTAAACTAGCAGTTAGTACTTCATTTGCATTAAACTCAAAGTGCTGTTGGTGACGGTTTGAGAAACATCCTTGAGGATGATCCGAAGATATGTCATAATAATTCTGATCCTCTGAAGAAAGTATGGCTTCCTCCTTAAAAGTACAAGCACTTTACAGTTAAACGAGAACCAATATGGCGCATTCCTGGTTCCTTCAGAAGCTGATCAAAGTGATCACCCACCCACTCACAGAACACTGCCAGCGATGTTTGACTTCAGTATCCACTAGGAACTGTCTCCTTAGGATCAGATCATTTTGGAACTCTTTGGAAAAAAGAATAACTTTATTTCATTTTAGAAAGTGGCGCAACGTAGAATTGGTTATATTAAGAATGAATACCCGACTGTCGCTAATATCCCATCATTGTCCATTCTCACTGAATGTGAATCAGAACCTGATTTTTGAAATATATTCATTTGTGAAAAACGTGCGTGTGATTTGTGTTAACTCTAATTCGATTTTAACAACCGAATCAAACAATGTTGTTGTTAATTTACGTCGCACTAGAGCTGCGCAATGGGCTATTGGCGACGGTCTGGGAGACATCCCTGAGGACGATCCGGAGACATGCCATCACAATTTTGACCCCGTCGCCAATAGCCCATGGTGCAGTTCTAGTGCGACGTAAATTTACAACACTAACAATAACACAATTTTGATCCTCTAGAGAGGGGATGGAACCCCCGCTTCGGTAGCCCGACGACCTGTACGCGAAGTCGAGCACTTTACGGTAGAACAGTTTAACGAGGACCAATACCGCAGAACCTCGGTCCCTACTCAGACTGATCCAAGGGGTCACCCACCCGCGCACTGACCGCAGCTAGTGATGCTTGACTTCGGTGATCTGCTGGAAACCGTGCCTGCGAATAAGAATTAAATTGGCCAAAAAGAAATATACTCTCAAGAATATAACCAATCAGGTTCTCTTTTGCATTCGGAAAAATCACATCAAGTGAGAATGGCCTTTTAAAATTAGCCAATCAGATTCCTTTCTGAATACAACTGTTTTAAATGCAACAAAAACGGTTTCTAAGTTTATTAATGAATTTCATTTTGTGAATGCTTCATACAAAACTCTTTTCTACACTGTAACCACGCTGAAACATCCATTTTTTTACGCTGTAACCATGGTAACCCTGCTTTGTTATAGTCGCTCTTGTTTACAACTCTATTTTCTATTCTTGCTATTCTGCTATGTTTTCTGTTATATCGATGTTTGAACTGTCGTTAAAACAACGTTGATATATTTTTGTGACAGTTTAGCACGCAGTAAAGGCAGATTGAATATTGCTGTTGTTTCTGGGCCTCGTCCTGGAAGTGAACTAAATGAAGGTACTTATCCTGTGCATCTCATTGTTTGGAAAAAGGAGGGACAAATTTATTCTTGCCATTATTCAATAGCTGTTGTTGGTAAGCATATTTTAAAGAAAAATTGCATATATTTACTATGCTCTGTGGTAATTGCATGGAGCAGTTTAGATATGCTAGTACTTTCTTGTATTCTTTCAATGTTGCGTCGTTTGAAGATTACTATGAGACTCTTTAGTTCTCTAATTTGTTAAATATATGCTGTACCTTAATTGACTTGTAAGCATGCTTTTTTTATAAAAAGAAATGACCTAGTTTTTCATGGATGATTGGTAGGTTTTCTTATTTTTAATTTTTTTTTCATTTATATTCAAAAATATATCGATAATTGATTTTGTAAATAAAAGAATTTTCTACGAGGAATAACTGTTTCTCTTAGATCTAAATACCTGGAAATAGTGCAAATTTGAAAAAGTAATGTTTGGAACATTTTACCTTTAACGCAAAAAAGACACTTGTGTTTCATACTGTATTTCATTACCATAGAGTATTAAAATGCTAAATGTAATATTTTTCATTAATTTCGACTTAATTAATACAAAATAATGAAAAAAGTATGAAAAATATGCAAATGCAAATTCTACATCAAAGAGTTAATAGTTGGAACAAGACCTTTTGGCTAATACCTAAGTTTTAGCAATAGANATATATACACAGTAGAACTTCAATTATCTGAACTCCAACTATCCGAATCGCTTTCAGAATTCTTATAGAAATATAGTAAAAAGATAAGTTTCTCTTTTTTTCTTTCTTTTTTTATTTGAATAAAATAAAATGTTTGTAAAGCCAAGTAAAGATTTATGCAGAGAAAGTTTACAGGATAGGACAAAGATACATAAAAGGAGTAACAAAGGAGGGGGAATCCACTGACAAAAGAGCACATGGGAGACCGTATGAATAAGGATGTTAGTTGAGAAATGTTATCTTAGGAATGTTGTTTGTTGACAAAGAAATGTGAGCGCTAGACCTCCTGGTCAGCTTGCTTGTGCCAATTGACGCTTGTCAGGCGCTTTACCGAAGACAACTTTTAAGGAAGCTTTTAGTAGAGGGATAGGATGAAGAAGGTGTGTTGGATAACCACAAAAAGATAAATTTGAATGATTGCGTGTACATGGTTGCGGAAGCTTGGAATTTGGTTAAAGACGTCTCATTAAGACGTGCATGGAACAAGTTAAAAGGCAGATCAACTAAGGAAGAAAAGGAAAAAGAGAAAAGGGAAAAAGAAGTTAAGGAAAAAAAAATGAAGACACAGAAGATGAGGATGCCGTATCTCTTGAGGAATTCAGAAACATATTTTTGAAAATTCCTGGATGTTCAGATGTCAGTGCTGAAGATATAGGATAGTGGATGACATGTGATTCATCAGACTGTGGATTTCAAATTTTAAATGATGATGAACTTATTGAAAGTGTGATGGAGGAAAGTGTCGATGAAGAAGATGACCCTAATGCTGAAATTGAGGAAGAGACAGGGCCGTCAGCTAATGAAGCATTTGCTGGCCTTGAAACTGCATTGAAGTGGATGGAGCACCAACCTGAGTGTGACCATATGCAACTTTTCACTGTCAAACGGATGCGCGACTTAGCTGCCCGAAAACGGATAATGACAGTTAAACAGCTTACTTTAACTGAGATGCTTAGCATGTAATAACTTTCATTTACTGCAAGGTATGTACACATTATTCATAAAAAGATCTCTTTCCTTAAAAACAGGTCTTTTACCCTCAATTCCACTATACATACAGTAATTATTTAAAATAAGCATTTTTTAAAAAAAAAAATCCAATTATCCGAATGGGGTCCGGTCCCAATTGATTCGGATAATTGGAGTTCTACTGTATATATATTAATTGTTATGTTGTTGTTTTGTTATCATGGAATTGCCCATCATAGAAAATATAGAAATCTCAGGGATTTAAAAGTGACTTGAAATACCCTGGGAGTTCTCAAAAAGAAAATTTTTGATGAAAATCTAATTAAAAAATTTATTAATTTTTCTTATTAATTTAAATGTTTAATTGCTTTATTCACTTGTTTCAATAAACTTTGAAGAGAATAGTAGTTTAGGCTTCGTTCTCATGGTGCATATGGTTTAAGAGACATTAATTACAGAACTTTAATTTATTTTTTATATCTTGATTTTATTTACGTAAAGAAAATAAAGTCTTTCTGGAAAGTTATTGTTTTTGTTTCAAAACTTGCTTTTTTATTAGCTGAATTATAATCAATTTCAGTCTTTCAATCGTAAATTAAAATTAAAGAAAAAGATTCATGAATAATAAAATTAACTGTTATATCACATTATAGATTATTTTAAGATAAAGACAAGATATTTACAGTAAAAAAATACACAAAAAAAGCTTTATCCTGTTTTTTTTTCTTGTGCCTGAAATATTATGAGGTAGACTCTTAGAGATTTCTAATTGTTAAGGAGCTCATTTATAACTTTTCTGCCAATGAAACCCAAATTTTATTATGAAATTTGTTCTTTCTTAGAACTCTCTTGAAAATAGCTATTCTTTATTTTATTTTGAAATAAGCAGCAGTAACTCAAAAAATGTTTTTCTGTGTCTTGTTTCTTTTTTGAATCTTTCAGCTAAACTTATATCTACATTCAAAATTGTCTCAAATTTACTATTTTATTTACTTATTTAGTTTATTTTTGTATATTTTTTTAAGCTCATTTTCTATTGGCCATCTTGAAAATAAATATATATATCTTTACTATATTTTTTATTCTAGTTGGAAGGTGTAAAGAGGTTCCTGCTCAAAATGGCATCGCTGTTAGTTGTTCCCATGGCAATATTTTGGGCAGTGTATGTTCATTCTCATGCTCTCCGAATAACATTCTGGAAGGCTCCAGTTCAATTACTTGTGAAGAAATATCTGGAAAAGTTTCATGGTCTTCTCATTTTCCAACCTGCAAAGGTAGGAAAAGATAAAGTCTAAAGTTAGGAAATTTTAGAGTGTTGAGTTATATAGGATGCTTTGAAACTTTTGCTAAAATTTGATTACTTTATAGTTTTTGATTGAAAAATTTAAAAAATATTATTACACATTCATAAAATGTACCACAAGAATTTTTTTAAAAATGATATGTAGTTATTGCATAATATTTCAGATGTGATTCAAAGTGTTTTTCTCAAAAGGTTAGGCATAAGTTTAGGTTGCTTGTCTCAAATCCAGAATACTTTTAACTATTGTTAGATAAATACAAGTATACTAGAATTATTTTAAATTTCTGGAATATTTAAAATTTCTTATTTTTTTTTTTGTAATTTAATATTAATATATATTTTACAGCTTTTGCTAAGTTAATTTCCCTTTGTAGCTGTGGTCAGTCGCTGAGCAATACCACCAGGGATTTGGAGAAAATTTCCTTCCCCTTTAAATTTATGTCTAAATTAGGAAGTGGTCATCACAAATTGTGATTGATCATCCTCAGAGATGTTTCTCAGACTAACATGAGTATTCCATTGTGCAGTTCAAGTGCAGCATAAGTACCTATCTACCTTTGTGCAGAAGTATTTATATTAGCCATATTTTTTAAATGTGATGAATTCATTGCAACAGTTATGAAAGATTGGAAATTTGTAATGCAAATAAAAAATAATTTGATATTAATTAAATAATTAATGTAGCTTTTTTTTCAATTACTAGCTTGATAATTATTTTTATAAGAACATTGCACTAGGTGTTATCAACATGTTTTTAAGTATATGATTCTGATTTTTCCAATTTTTGATGGATATAAATTTATCTGTCTAAAATTTGTTTTACATTTTTTAAGAGGGTGCATTGATTATAAGTCTAATTTATTTATTTATTTTACTATGAATGAAATATTAACTTTTGAAAAAAAAGTTTTTTGATAAATCACTATAGGCTTGCTTAAAGATATTTATAGATATTCATTTCATCATTCTGAAATTTCATGTTTTTTGTAAGTTTTGGTTGAAAATTATTTTATATTTTTAGCGGCTCATCAAAAGCTTACTTCTAAGACTCAACTGCCTTGTACAAAGCTTAAAAACCCATTTAAAGGAACAGTTGTTTGCAGTGCTAATAATGAAGCTGTCTACCCAGATGGAAGTGTGTGTCAATATTTTTGCTATCCAGGATATAAAATTGATAAGCTCTCTTCTAGTAGCATTTTAGTTGTTTGCAAAAATGGTCAGTGGACACCCAATAGAAACATTACATGCATAGGTAATCCATTATTTTTATTATAGCACTTTATATTTTTATTTGTATTTTTGATATATCAATATCATAAAAATAGTCAATGAGTAAACAATGAAAACATTATATGCCCTGGTAATCTACTATTTTGAACCTATAGTATTTTATACTCTGTTATATTTCAGATTTCATATTTCTTAAAAGTTGTTTATATTTTTAAAATGCATTTTCAATTAATCAATGAGAATCAGTTGCCAACTAACATAAACATTACCTTCATTATTAGTAATTTACTATTTTTATTATTGTACTTTAAGTTTTGTTATGTTCTTGGTTTCCTATTTCCATAAATGTTTATATTTTTGACAAATATTTACCCTTTTTCATATGATGCTTATCATGGCTAAGCCTGTTATTCTGATCCACTGTTGTACTAGCTGTAAGCAAATGGTTAATGCTTCAAAAATAGTCTGTATACACCCATTAGAAGCATTACATATATTTGTAATATATTTTATTACACTTAATGGTATGTTCTATTGAGGATTTTTATCCTTAAATGTTGTTTATGTTTTTAACAAACATTAATATTGCAAAAATAGTCAGTGGAATTATAGCATTATATGCATTGGTAATCTTTTACTATATTTTATGCTTTGTTAGATTGTGAATTTTATTTCTTTTAATACTATTTAATTATTGCTTTAATATTAATTTAATTATATTGCTTTAATATTAATAAAAATATAACGATGCCATTGCTTTTTGGTTGCAGCTACCTTTTGTTCTCCTCCTAAATTGCCAGAACATGGATCAGTTAACTGTGATAAAAGCAAAGAAATTGCTTTAAAATCTTATAATGATGGAACAAAGTGTACATTTCATTGTGATGAAGGTTATACCATTCCTATGTCTCAGCGAAATCTGCAAGACATTGTTTGCCAGGCTCCATATTGGAAAGGCTTGTCCATCCCGGACTGTAAGCGTAGGTTTAGGGTGAAGTATTTTAACTATAGATGTGTTTTAGAATTTTCCTTATTTGTAATTATTTTTGTTCACACAGAAAATACAGTATTAAGAAGTTTTACTGAAAATAATTATATTCAAACTATTTTTCTATGTAACTTTTGAACTTTGTCTTTCAAAGTATTAAACTAAAGCTTATGAATTAATATTTTCTAAAAAACTATTTTTCCTCTCTATGGATGTAAAAAAGTAGTATCGGGAATAAAATATTATTTTATGTAATATAGTTAAGTATTTTATCATATAGAATAATTTTGATATAAATATGTATTTACTTCTAAGCAGGGTTAGCATTATTTAAATCACTTGATTTCTCAAATAGAAAAAAAAATCATTAATTGAGAGTGAAAATATTTTTGACTATGATTTGTTATGCTTCTGCACACGTTTTTCAAGAATTTTTATCTTACCAACATCAGAGATAATAACTGAAAATGTGGTATTTTAATTATACTTCTGTGTGTGATTTAATGATTGGTTTAGTGGAAAGGGAAAAGTTTTCAACTTAATACTTTCAATGTTTTTTTTTAAACGTTAAGTGTGATTGCTCAGTATAAATTTGCCCAAAATGAATTAGATTGATAAATTTTGAGGTTAAATAATTGCCTGGTTGTTTTGATTTATAGTGCATTTTCATATGACTTTAAAAGCAATATGCATGTGGTAATTACTTTATGTTGCATTTAAAAATATATATAAAATTTTTTTCATAATATAAAATTATTTTATTTTATTTTATAACTGTCGTTGAACAGCCGACCCAATTTTATGGGTTTTTGACTACTAATGTTCAACTCCATAGCCTTGTAAGTTTGAACCCAATCCGAAAGACAAGGGAACTCCTGAATCGAGTATTGGGAGAAATTTGCCTTTGTGGAGGACTTTTTGATGGAGCTAACCCGCATTTGCCTTAGATGGAGAGGAAGACCGCAAGAACCTCCCACGGTTATCTTGGCAGCAAGGGGACTCTAACTTGTGATCCATCTACCACTAAGAATATTTCCTCTCAGCACTGTGGTCGGTGCAAGCCAGATGCGAAATTCGTATCGACTGGGATTTGAACTCCATTCGCCTCATTCGAAGGCGAACGCTCTATCCCCTGAGCCATCGCGGCTCAATAAGATTTCTTCAAGCTGCTTAGAAAATCTGTAAATTGCTGCTTCCAATTGCTCCTGAGCCAATGAAAATTATTACGAATCTTTCAAAAACTCCTAAGTACCCTATAAATATTTTGCATTGCTAAGTATTTATATGCCTTTTCTGGCCATTATTAAAATGTTTCTCTACAGATCTATCAAAATAATATATATATTTTAATGTTAAGCACTTAAAATATCACTGTAGGGCAATAATAAAAGCTATTTATTTAGTTAAACAAATCATAAGTTGTATTATTTTCTTATGAATCAACTTATGGATAATAATAAATGTCATTTGTTAATATTTCCTTTCAATTTGATATTCTTATTACTTTAGGAATTGATCCTCCTTACCCATATCAAAACACTTGCAAGGACCAGATTTTGATTGCTAACAGAAAAGGCATTATCAAGCTGAAGGTTCCCAATTTTATTCCTTCCGATGATTCTACTATTAGGCATAAAATACCGGCCAATTGCACATACCAAGGAAAAGTGGGAGTAGGTACTTACATTAACCATTGTACTGCACATGACAAAGAGCTTAATTCTACTGGCCATTGTACTTATTCCATCACTGTAAAAGGTAAACTTTTCTTATGCTCCAATTTATTTACTAATTAATTATAATTACTGATATCTTTCTTAATGATTTAGATTTTTCACATAATTTATGAACAATCTAAATTATGAGCTATTAATATACTAGTATGTGAAAAAATATATATCATTAAAACATATATGAACCTTTTTAGTAATTTTTTCCTTGTAATTTTTGCATCACTTAAATCTGATCAGCAACCAAAATAGAAGGATAGTATGTTGTTTTGTTTTGTATATTTATCTGAAATATCATATTTTATTGTAATTGAACATTAAAAATTCTTTATGTTGTAATTTTTTAAAAAATTTTATCAAAAAAATTATGCATAATAGACATGTAAACGAACCAATGAAAATAGTAAAGAACTTGTAATACCTTTTAGTTGCTGGTCCTCTGGACCAGTGACAAAACTTTCTTAATTTCTACCCCTGCATAAATACAGATGAGTCACACAATAAATTGAGTGGGAAACCTGCAGGCATTTCTGACTTGCTTTTTATAAAATTTAAATTAGACATTTCATCTTACATTATTTTTGTATAATATTTTTGCTAGCTAAAGGGCACAGATCATACTTTTTCTTACTATTCTTGCCATTTTTTCCCCATTTATATTTGCACATGTATTGTAAATTTAAAATTATCGGTTTTTAGATATAATTTTTTAAGATTTAGTATTTATTTTCAGAAAATACTTGTTTTCCTCCACCAGTTATTTCACATGCATCAGTGGAATGTAATAATTTGGATAGTAAACTGTATCCTAAAAAAACTGTTTGCAAGTATATTTGTGAGGATGGTTATGTTATGCCTGTTAGACTAAAGAAATTCAAGTCCAAAATATGCACATCAAAATTGCAGTGGAAGCCATTATCAGTGCCATCGTGTAAAAGTATGTGAGAAAGTGGTATCTTTGTCATTTTCTTTAAATTTCATTACTTCTTGTCACATAATTAACTGTAACCGTTATTAATATTATTTGACTGTGATTGTAGACAGATGAACATATAAGTTTTGCAAACAGTAAAACACATTGAAGAAGATTATTGTTACATTTATAAGTTCCATTATGAAATTAATAAAATTTATTAAGAATTGTTAGTTTCATCTGATAAAAGTATAAAATGCGAAGCTTTTACACTCAAAATTTTAAAGAAGTTTAAATCTGATAACAGTTCAAGTTGTTGACTTTATATTCTCCTGTTGCACAATTAATCACAATTAGCTTGATTTAAAGGGTATTTTTCAAAACTTCTTTTCAAAGGAAAATAAAGCTCCAACGTGAGTCCTTTAAACTCAAGACAAAGCTTTGATTTTAAATTTTGTATATTATCTTCAAACATTGCTTAGACTTTAAAATAATCAAATATTTTTGATATTTTAAATAGAAGAGAACTTTTTTTTTCTCGAAAAAATTGAGAATTTGTTGAGATGTTACCATCTAGATGAAAATTATTAAAATCTATGAATAATTCTTACTTTTTGCATATTTTTTTAAGCTTGAAAGTGTAGTACTTGTTGTAGATTTTCAATTTTGAAAGACAGTTTATTTTCACAAAACTGTAATTTTTGAAACATTTGGTTTGAAATTAACAATACCTAAGTTATGAACTGTCAGGAACTTATAACAGTTATAAAAATAGCATATAGCATATTATATGTTAAAAAACACTATTTCATGTTACATAAGAGTTTTTGATATTCAAGTTCCATTGGAGTTTTATTTTTGCATGGTGCATTTTTAAGTTTTCACATTAAATAATCAGTAACTTAACTAATGGTAAAAATAGTTCACAAATTAAGTAATCATTGAAATCAAATAATTTATTATTGATCATGGACTAATAGGAATGGGCAAAAAAAAGTTTAGTAATTTTTTTAACTGTCAAAATTTTTTATTTTGACTTTAAGCCTTCAAATAGCATTTCTCCCCTTGACACACGTCATTTTATTATTGTGTATTAAAAGTCTATTGATTATTATCACTATATAGTTTGTTAACTATGTTCATAAATTTTAAATAAAGTTAATGGAAATACTTGAATATTGTAAAAATAATATAAAAAGCACAGATAAATAAGCATGAGAGACAGTTGTCTGTACTGTAAGAAAATGTCTAAATTACTATCTGTTTCTAATATTAATTTATTTGTAAATTTTAGATTTCTGTAATATTTTAATATTTAGTTATCAGAACAAAGGTAATTTTTGGATAAATTTATTACTGTCATTATTTTAAATGTTAGTATTAAAAAATATTGAAGACATATCTTTTATTTATTGAATATAATTTATTATGTAGTGTTAGGTTATATACAGATTATGAGGATTTTTCTGTCACAGTTAGATTTTGAAACAGAATAACACATAGGCAAAATAAAAGAAAAGTTATGTTGCTTGGATTTATAACAACAACACACATAGTTTTATTAGCATTTTTTCTGTGTTATTCATTTTATTTCATACATTTTTAATAGTTATTTTTTATGCATGACCTATGTTTTTTCAGGGTTTTTAATTTTTTTTATGAACTTTTCTCATATTTGTTTATCAATTTATCTTTCTGTTGAATGAATATTCTTCTGTTACTGTGGCATGTATCAGCAACATATCTCACTTAATTATTATTTTTTTCTGTTAGAAATTATTCTGTATTAAAGTAGCTTAGATAATTCTCATTTCTGAGATTTTTGTTATTTATCTATTTGTTTCTAACAAAATTAAACTCTGGCATTTGCTTGATACAATTAAAAAATATTTTTAAATGTAATTTCGTTCCATTTTTTCCAAGCACTTTTTATTTGACAATGAACAAAATCTTTACACATATTAATATATTAGTATTGATAATGCTTCAATCTAATTTACTTACTAAATAACTGAAATATTTTATATTTAAATCATGATTTATATATAAAGCCATAAGTTTTTTCAGAATATAAATTTATTGTTCATAGTGTAGTCTACTTTTTTGTACTGTGTCTTCAAGTTTGTGTGTCTTTGTGTTATATAAACCATTGTGTAATTCATAATTTTTCTTTACTGTCTATATAAATATTAATATTTTGTGTTCTAAGTAAATTTTTGATATCTTGAATAAACAATATTTCAGATGCCATTCCACCTAAGCCAAGGAAAAACAATTGCATTTCTCAAGTTTTGTATTTGGACAATAATAAATCATCTATCCGGATTAAGCGTCCTAAATTCAAGTCTTCAATTAAGGGAAGCAAAGTGAGAGTTAAATGCAGTTTAAGTGAACTTTCAATTGTTGGTAACTATACAAATGTGTGCGAAGCTGTGGATACCCAACTACAATTAACATCAACTTGTTCTTACGATATAACTATTTTAGGTGAGAAAGAAATTGTTTCTTAAGTACACAAATGATTTTGATGCACTCAAATTCTTTTCATTCCTGAAATTTATAACTTAAAATTTTATAAAACCTAAATAAAAAAAACAACTATATTAATAACATATCAGAATAGCATATTTTTTCTTTGAATATTTCTTTATTTATTTCTCATAATTTAAATTTTTTTTATTTAAGATTAATACAGATGTACTTTTTAGTAATAGTTAATTGTTTGTAGACATGCAATTATTTGCTTTATGATCAACATAATGCCTTTTTTTCTTGATTTCTGCTTTTCAATAACTAAGAATTTTTTTTCCAGAAAAAAGATGTCCAGTTTTGCCAGAAATATCAAATGGGCAATGTAATTGCACCTTTATTAAACATCAAGACAGTAGTTATTTTCCTGGTACTATATGCTATTATACTTGTTTTGATGGTTATGTGATTTCTACCAGCTCCATACCTTATTCTTTTAAATACTGTGGAAGTCGAGGTTTGTGGAATAGTACAGTTATTCCGACCTGTGTGTGTAAGTGTTTTTTCATAGTGTTGATTTTCTTTTTGGTCTAAGGAATAAGCAAATTTTGAAATTCTTAAAACTTTTAAAAGTTTTTCTTGCTCAGAAATATTGAATCTTTATAAAGGATATTATTTTATTTTGTTCTGTAATAACCTAGACATTAAGCCTAAAACCTAGTAATATTAAACTTAAACCTAGTAATATTTAAACCTAGTAATATTTTTTAACCTAGTAATATTTTTTAACTTTCTAGTACAATCTGTCCCAGTCTCAGAGTCTTGCCTTGACAAATCTGTTACAGTTGATAACTTGATAAATTTCACAATACCCATTCCTGATTTCAAGTCTTCTACTGGAGCTAATCTTGAAGTAAAATGTGAACCTTCAAGCATAGAGAATTATTCATCTCACACAGTCAATTGTAGTGCCTTCGATCCAGAATTAAGAACCTTAGGAATTTGTAGCTACTTATTAGATGTGCGGCAAACAGTGGATGTTGCCGAATTTCAGCAAGCTGGTAAAGTTTTATTCCTTTAGTAATTTGATGTGAAGCAATATACTTTTTATTTATTGATTTTAAAATATTTTGATGAATTTAAAATAATGTTTGTAAATTTTGTAATGAATATGTAAAACTTATAAGTTGCATTACGTTAAACCAATAAATGCCTAATATATTATAATTTTTATAATTTCTGCATAGTTTTATTACTATGTAATGTAATATAATATTGCAATTATTTATGTATCTTGTACATAGCAATCTTATATCTTTCAGTTCTGCTTTCTACATATTTGTGCATTGTGCATTTACATTTTGTGTTCTGTGTTCACAGCCCTTGATATTTTAGTAACAATGTCAAAATTAAAACCAAAAGGAATTGCAACTTGATATTTAAGCTAGAAAGAGCAATTTTATTTTAATAATGTTGTTAAAATTTACAAAATTTGATAGATCAAACTTAAGGACAGTCCTCTTATTATATACAAGGTTCAGGCATAAAGTCTTACCTGCAGAAAACATTTTGAAAATTCAGTTATTTTACAAAAAAGAAACTCAATTAATGATATTACGTTATGAAATTTTTATAGTGATAAATAAATTCAGGGATCATATGCTTATTTCTTATCAATATTACTTAAATTTTTATGGTGATATACTCAAGGGTTATTCATTTATTTATCATGTAGTAACAAATTTTTCTAGAGTAGAATTTTGTAGCTCATGACTTTTGATTCTTATACTTGTCAGTTGTTTCAAGACTATTGGGTCATTAAAAGAAACAGATGGTTTAAAATTGTTTGATTAAGGAAGTCTTGAAATTTATTACAAATTATTGGAATATATATATATGTTAAAAAACANTAACGACGATAATTTAACAAACATAACAATTTAATAGAAATAAAAAGGATAGAAGGATATAGCAGTTAATATTATTGACATGACTCGTGAGAGCTGCCTTCTCGCAGTGGTCTCCAGAATGCATGTGACTAAGAATTAGATTGTTCTATGGTATAAAGTAAGAGTTAATTATAAATTTGGGAGTTTCTCTTCGGGACTGGATGGCGCCTCTCAATGTCAAGAGGATGATGCAACTTCTTTTAATATTACAAGATGGTGAATGACGTAATGTTCAAAGCTAATACACTATAACTGTAGCAACAGCTCCAAACTCCACATATATATATTTGATAATGTTTTTTTTATGCAAAAGTGCTATAAAAATTTTCTTATGTATTGATCGCAAACTATTTTGAATTCTTTAGTGCTTTTTTAATAAAATTATACTGGAAACTATAAAATTTTTCTTTTGAGAACAAAATAGTTCTGATATTAAAAAACAATATATTTTATTATTCTATATAGCCATAAAATTCATTTTTATCTGAGTAGAGAAAATTATAATATTTTTAAAAATTTGTCATTTGCCCTTTTTAAAGTTAATCTGCTTTACGTTTACTGTTCTAAAAAATGTTCTATTTTTTTCTTCAAAAATATTGTTCTGATTTCTTTTGTTATCCCATTATGAGGCCTGTGTAATGTGGTGTTATTAACTTAATTTTGATTGAGATTCTAACAATTTATGTCAAAGCAGGGATTGCAGAACATTTATAGTAGATAACTTAATAGCTTAAAAATAACTTTAGTTATGTTTTAACAAGTTAAAAAAAATTTTTTTTTTCATGTGTAAGAATGTTTTTTGAGGTCTTTTATTATCTTGTGACTTTTTGGTATATTGGATTAGCTTGTAAAAATCTAAAATAAATAATGCACTGTTCTTCAAAATATATATTTAATTTTTATATACCTTCTTTATTGTAAAATTGATTTTTTACTTTTAGAAAGTGCTTGTTTGCCATTGAGTTCTACTCAAAATGGAAAAATACATTGCAATAACACCAATTCAAAACTTATTGTTCCTGATACTTTATGTGAAGTAATATGTGATGAAGGTTTCATAATACCGAAAGTGGAACAAAATACATCATTTGCAATTTGTGATTCTGAAGGAAGTTGGAATATTTCATTTTTTCCAGATTGTGTTCAAGGTGAATTATATTTCTTTCTTGATCTATTACTTGACTATTATTTTGGCAGGCACAAAACATTATTTAACATCTGGAAATTTTACTAAATTCTTTGAAAATGTGTGCTTTGCGGTATAGTGAAAATGTTGAGTGCAATTCTTTTCTGCTTTCTGTTTTGTATTGCTACACTGATTCTTTTTGGATTGCAGAAAGGCTTATGTCTTTTAATCTTTAAGTTAAAATAGAAAATGAAAATTTTAAATTTTTGCATAAACATTCCAAAATTAAAATGAAATGTTTTCAAAAAGGTGATCTTTTTTACATTTTAAAATATTTTTTTAGTGAATTTGAATGTATTAAAAATTTTATGGGTTGCAATATATTTACTAGGGATAATTTGTAAATTGTTCAAAATGTGTAATTTATTTTAACTTTTTTATTTATATAAATGGTGCAAAACATTTCTGTTAAGACTCAAATTTCCAATGTTGAAATCAAATTTCAAGAGGAGCATTCACGAGGTTTGACGAGTAAGGCAAGCAAAATAATCTTACAAAAAAAAAAAAAAAAAAAATTTAATTTTGTGGAAATGAACACATTTTTGTTTCATTGTTTAGTGTATTTTTGAACTTTTTGTTTTGTTTTTAGTGGCAGAAAACTAAGGAGGCCTGTATTCTGTAAAAAAAAATATATTTCTATATTTTCCAAAACAGTTATAAATTTAATTTATTCTTAATAAAAATAACATATTTAATTTTAGTTATGATCATACTTGATTAATTCATCAACAATAGCTCTACATATGTAGACCAATTATACTTTTGCTTTAAATTAAATTAAATACATTTGTTAGATTTAATTAATAAGTTAGTTTCAAATAAGTGCTTAACTAAAGATGATAAAACCAGCACTGAGTTTATTTTTGGGAGGCAATTATTTTTTATATTGCCTTATTAAATTAATTATAATAAAATGCCATATATTAGAAATAATTTTTAATATAATTCAGGCAATTATTTTTAATATAATACCTGTTAACATTGGGGTTTTCAAATTTCGTATACAGATAATTTCTTTTTATGCAGGTAATTCTCTGAAATTGATATCTGGTTGTGATTCCAAGACAATTGAAATTGATGACTCTCCTCTAGTTAAAGTAACTCTACCTGAATTTGAAGGCTACAATAATATTTCTGCCAATGTTGAATGTTTTCCAGAAAAATTGAATGAATATAAAAAATATGAAATTACATGTTCGGCTGAAGATATCATCCTTGGTACAACAGCTATGTGTGCATTTTTTATTACTTTAGAAAAACCTTTAATTCTTGACCAATTGAGTAATGCCAATGATTCGTCAGAAACTACAAATAATGCATCAAAAAGTGAAAAATGTAAGATTTTTTTTATTTCGAGCTGCAACTTGTTTAAATTTCTTCTATAATTATATTTTTCATTAAAAAGTTTTTTTTTGTTCTAATCATTACATGTTCTTGCTGTGTTAATTTAAAATATTTTATAAAATTTAAAAATAATTAAAAATTTTATAAAATTTAAAAAAAAATTCTTAGCCATATGTCACCAACTTTGACTTGAACTTTAGTAATAATTTACTACTTAACATGTTGAAAAATCCAAAACAATATTTTTTAAGATTTAAAGCTTGTAATTTTAAAATAATATAATTTTAATAATTGTATTAGAAGACCATTCCCTTTATCCATTGTTTTAGAATCCTTGTCAAAAATAAAGCTGAAAAGATACATACACTAGGAATGTCCAAGTAATGTTTGAGTGAGAAAAAACAAGAACATCTTTAAAATGTAACAAATCACTAGTAAGGAAGGTGAGACTTATAACATCAGAGTTTGTTTGATTATCGGCTTTTTTTTATCTAACAGCAGGCACTGAACTTTTTGTTCTTCATCTGGGAAGAGCCTGGAAGTGTTAATCATTTAACATTATCCACTCGGCACCCATGAACCTAAATCAAGGAGGCGAGCAACATTACCAACTCTGCACTGCCACAGACCGTTCTTAAGGTGGGCCACATTCACACAGAGAACAACAACATCCATGCCCTGAGCGAGATTTGAACTTGTCAGGCACTCTGTTTGATTGTGGTGGAAACAGAGATGACTTAAATGACACTTACTGGAAACACCAATCAAGCAACTTTACTTCTTTTTTGCCAAGGATTCTAAAAATATTTATTAAGAACAAAAAATACATAATATCTTGCTTACCTTAAAGTTTCTCATTTTTTACTATTTTGAAATATTTAATGTGCTATGAGAGTGTTATATCCACAAAACCCCATCTTTTACATTCATCAACACTGTTCCAGATTGCAAGATAAAAGTTGGGTTTAAAAATTACATGTTTAATTCATTTATTGTTATATTCATTTTTATTTTATGTTAGTGACTTTAAGTCAATAAAATTTTTCCCCTTACCCAGATAATTTTTTCTTCAGCTCATTAGGCATTGAAACTCATGAGCCAAGTGTTGACCAAGTGATGGGTTGTTCTCCTTCATCAAAGATTTTATGACTGACTCTTAGATGCATTTCTGTTGCTTGGAGCTAAAAACTTTAAAACCTCTCACCGAGAATCCGATAACAGCAGAACTTTAATTTTTGATCAATTTACTTGTCAATTATGTGGTTAGAGCAGACGAAAGTTTTCCATTAAATTGCTTCAGAATTTCTCTTTTTTTGGCAGTTAAAAAAAAAAAAAGTCAGTGCCAATTAGAACAACTTTCAGATCTCAAAACATTTTATTAGGAATGACAACATCAAGAATGACTAAAGAAGGTACAGACTAGAAATGAGATAGGCTTATTATCTGATATAGCTTATTTGAACTTGGACTGGCTCATGATAAATAGTTAATTTCACACTAAGCAAATTTAAAAAATTATGTAATTCATGTAATTCTGCATGTAATATTGCCTTTAATTGAATTTTCTGTTATATAATTTTGAAGCTCTTTTAGTTATATTTTTATTTTTAATTGAAATATTTTTTTTTGTAAAATAAAATTGATTTTTATTATTTTAAAACAGGATGAACTTACTATTCTTGTTTTATCTGTTAGTTATAGAGTGCAGGCCTCTCTCTTCTCCATCAAATGGAATTCTTGAATGCATTGAAGAAACTCCCCTTCGTAGTTGCTCTTTCAAATGCATAGATGGATATGATTTTCAGTCGAGTTTTAAAAATGTCATCAAAACGAACGGACTTGAATGTGATGGAAATGATGGATTGTGGAATTACCAACGGTTATATAATACTAGTCAACTACCCGATTGTTTAGGTAAAATAAATAACATTATAAATCAATAAGGAAAGTGCATTGGGTGTAACATGAAATTTTGATAACTAACAAATATTTTTTTTCTCTGATGAGGTTCTGTTTTCAAATATTTTATTAATTTTGAGGAGCTTGAATCATTTTTAAGTTTTTTGCTTCTTTAAAATAACTTTTATGCTGCCATAAAACAAAAAGAAAAGATCGTAGTTATCCGGATTCCCAAGCAGAGCAATGACATGAAGTAATGAAATTTATTTCGAATATTTATTTTGAGACACTTGAATAATTTTTAAGTTATTAGTCTCATAAATTTTTTAATACTGCATATACCAGAAAGAAATAGATTGTAATCATCTTGATTTCCTAGTATAATAATGGAAAAGGGTATTGGCGCTGTTTTCGAATATGTTATTTATTTTGAGCCACTTGAATGATTTTTAAGTTTGTCACATAAAATCTTTTTATGCTGCACATAACAAAAAGAAGAAGATTGCAGTCCTTCTGATTTTCCTAACAGAGTAATGAGAAAGCATATTGGTGCTGATTTCAATTATGTTTGAAATATATATTTTAAACCCTTTGAATGTTAAAGTTATTTGTCTTCTAAAAATGTTTTATGCTGCACTTAACAGAAAGAAGAGTATTGTAATCATCCTATTACCCTTGTGAAAAAATAAGCACATAATCTTTTGCTGAAGGGGTCTGAGTTTCTAAGCCAGTGGTCATTATAATTTTTCGTTGGAATTTTTTACTTATTATTTCAAAATCATTCATCTATTTTTGTGGTATTTTTTGTTAGGTTTGTTTTCTTAATTTCTTAAACATGATTTTAAATTTATGTTCTTCTTATTAATTTTTTTCGTTATATTTTGTTTTTTCTTAAAAAACAGTTAATATTTTTAATAATATTGATGAAAATTATGCATTGCAGGATATATACAGAGCAATTCGTGACATTTATATTCCTTGCTAGAGCATTTATAACATTTATCTGTTTGAAATGGAAATAATATCTTGATTAGCATTTTAAAAATTATTTGGATGATCTGCATCATATTAAATTTTTTTTAAAGGCATACCTCATTATAATCTGAATATTTTTGATGAAAATCGTTTAAACTGAAACAAAATAATTAAAAAAATTTTTTTCCTTCTCTTTTTGAATGAGAGATTGATTTCTTCATAGTTTAAACATATAAATTTCAGTTGCAAAAAAGTACATATCTAAGGGTTGTATTAGATTTATAAGTTCTTTCTGTAATTTTTTTAAAAAACTTTTATGATGTACCAATTTGACTAGTTGGATTTATCTTAGTCAAAATATTTAATAATTAAACAAAAATTGTGGCCATGCATACAGTTTATAATATTTTTAAATCATTAATTTTAGAATAAAGTATTTTTCTAAAATATGTATGTTTTTTAATAAACTAGTGGTGTATACTTTAGTTCCACTGTTAATATATTTTTTAAAAATGACTCTCTTAAAAGTAGACTGTTAAGGGTGACAAATTAATATTTAAGGGAGGAAAGACAAAACTGCTATCAAACTTTTACAAATCACTTGTTAGGAAGACAGGACTTAAGAACATCAAAACAATTTGATTGCTGTAAGAAGTAGAGAGGAGTTATGCAGATGTTTGAAAGGTGATTAACCTTCTTCAGACAATCATATGAAAATTAAACTATTTGATTTGATCAAATATCAAATTGCATCTCTTAGATCTAATCAAAATCATATTAAAATCTTAATTGTTAAGTAATTAACTTTAATTAAGTTTAATTAGATTAAGTAATTGTGTGTATTATCTAAAAATGTAATAATTAATTGAATGAAGTACTTTTACCAACTTTTAAGTAGTATAATCGTATTAATCTTAATAAGCTATTTGGCATTTGAATTAAGCATTTAATTATTGTATGTATTTAAAGATAAGGACAAAGAAAGAACGAATATTTCCTTTCTTTGTTTACATTTTGTTACATAATTGAATAAATGGTAAGATTATTCTAAAAAAATTTCTTACTTTCAATGTAATTTTGCAGCTCTTTTGCCTAACACTACTGTGAAGGTATCTCTGTATTTTGATGCGTTTGTGGAACATTGTACCACATCAGATGAAGCTGATTACCTGAAACTAATGAAAGATGTCTTATTACCTTTGAATGATGATGTCTGTGATGAAATTGATTGCTATAATCTCAAAATAAGCTGTGAGTCTGATGGGAATAAAATTATACTTGCAGTTAATTGGACACTTCAGGTACTTATAACATAATTAAAATACTCTATTTCCAGAAAAATAACTATAAAAATTTCTTATTGGTATAACAATTGTAAACTGTATTAGCCTTACTTGATGAAAAGAAAGAATTTTTTTTTTTACGATTTTAGAAACTCAGTTTAAAATGCATTTTCAATTTGATTTCTAATTACCAAGATAAGTATAATAAGGAGTAGTGTGATGGTACACTGGCCGAAAAAAAAATTAGGAATTTTTTATCATATCTATAACATTATCCTGAAGTTTGCCTGATTGTTTTTCTGAAATCTTACAAGGTCTCATGTTTACAGTGTTTCATTTATTTTATTTCATTTTATTCACCATTCTTTTTTTTCATCAACTTATTGATTTATAAATCTGAAAAGCTTAAAACTATTTTCCACAAGTCTTTTACTTTTTTAATACTACCTTCTTCATACTTAAATTTCAAATTATTTCCATAGTTTTCTTTTTTTTTTTTGGCATAATTTTGATAGAAATAGATACGGTGAAACCTCTAGGAGCAACCACCTCTATTTACGACCACTTTCGGGAGCCACAGAATTTTTTCCCTAGATTTTGTATTGAGGAAAACCTTTAGAAGGGACCATTAAAATCTCTCCCTGGGTCCGACAAACATCTGCACCAAAGATGAAAAAATATCAAAACAAAAAATTTAACGGAACAAATAAAAATGTATGGATTAAAATGTATTCAAAATATTTGCTTGAGACTCTTATTTAATGAGCTGTTTTTAATGATATAACGTCATGTTGCAACCAGAGTGCACTAAAGATGATGCTATCTGTGATTTACTTTTAGAGTTGTAAGTTAAATTAGAAAACAAACGTAATTTTAGAAAAAACAAGCATCTCAAACAAACAAACCTCTTCTCATCTTTTAAGGCCAACCAATTTTTATGATATAGAATTAAATGCAAACGAATAATAGCTTTATCCAATAGCTATAATAAATTAGCTTTGTCATTCATAATTGGTAAATTTGTTTTTACACAATTATATCAGTTGGGATCATTTTTATGAACGCTAAATTTTAATCATCGATCCGTCTTTTCATGATGCCAACAGAAGTGACATTTCTGCACCAAAAAAATGACACTGACTAAAATTTAAATCGTTTGCAAAAAATCATGTACGTTCGATAACAATTTTAAAGTCAATGGAGGTAACCTCGAAGAATGATCAACATCCATTAGTGAACATTTTACTGTGGAATGGAAAGAGGTCACTTTCGAGAGGTTTCACTGTATTATTATATAAGATGATTATGAGAAACATATAGTTTGTGAAATGTTTGGCTTAAAAGGTAACTTAATTAATGCCATAGATTTTGTAGGAAGCAGAATAACACCAAGCCATCAAAATCCTTACTCTTTTTGATTCTCATTCAGAATTACTTGCTTAGTTTGTAAAATTTATATGTAGAGGAGGTCATTCTGAAACACTAATTATTAATTATGCTTTATCTTTTACCACGTAAATAAGTTTGTTCTATTCTATTCTCTCAGATTCTCCTTCAGAATTGCTTGCTTGTTTTGTAAAATTTTGATCTTCAAGAGGTTATTCTCAAATCTGAAATATTGATAATGTCTTATGTTTTACTTCCTAAATAATTTTGTCCACTCTGTATATCTAATAATTTGTACAAACTAATTACTTGTTTCAATATTATTTAGGTTAATTTTTTTGCATAGTTAACTGTTTGTAGACATATTATACAAAATTGTGACGTAATTACACAATAGTAAAGCTCTAATTTTAGGAGTATGACAAATTACCAGAATTTTGTTGTTTTTAAATAATTGTGGACCATAGTCATGCTGCTGTTAACTAGATAGAAAAAATGTGTGTTCTTAATATAAAAGAAATATTGAAAATAATGTGTAAAATTTTTAATACTCTTCCCATTGACCCTGATACAGAACATCGTTACCTAAGCTTCTGCATTTTATCAAGCTTTGATCCTTTTTGTTTCCTCATTTTGATGGAATAACATCTGTATTGCGATTCAGCAGCGACTAATTGCTTTTAACAGCATTTCTTATTTTTTATTGGCAATGCTGTCCACATTCTGTACTACATTCATGTGTGTTTACTTTATTAAATCAACTTTTCTTTCTTTAATACTGTTTCGATTTAAATCAATTGAGAAAGTTGTCTATGAGTCCTGTAAATATTACATTTAATTTTATTTATTCCCAAACTGAGTAGTAAGCCAAATGTCATGGAAATTATTTTTATAACTAGTCCTTGAGTTTCAATTCTAAAAATGTGTAAGTAATATGATATTCAGTATCTAATAAGAAAACAAGATTTGATTAGTGAAGAAATAAAAATGCATATTTTATTTTATTGTAAGCAAAACATCATTTTAAATATTGAAATTTTGAAAAAAATATAAAATTGCTTGAATGCAGACATTTGAAGTATTTTTAATTATAATTTTTTAGCAGCATGAAGCATTTTTATTTCTGCCCAGAATTGCATAATATCAATTCTCTTCTTTTTCTTTGAAATTTATTTATCAGTTTTCAATCTCACAAATAAAAATATACAAACAATTGTAACTAAGGAATAATTAAAGATGTCTTAAATGAGGAAAATTAAAAATTTAAAAATCTTTGGTGGAATCTCTTGGAAAAATAAAGTCAAACTTTAGCAAAATATTGGAGTTGTTCTTTACACTCTCTGTGTTATAATTTAAATGGAGATATAATAGAACAAAAATACTGAAAAAATTTCTCACAAGTGTCTTTTGTAAGGGAGTTATGATTGTAGTTTATGTAGTTATGGCAGTAAAGTTATGATTGTAGTTTGAGAGCTGAGTTTTAAGAAACTGATTTATATGTTTTAGACTGCATATGATCCTTCTAAATATGATGATTCCATTGAGGTACCTGATTTTGAGAATAACTTTGAAACTGTTCTTGATACTGCTCGAAAAACTATAAAGCATGAAGACTGGTTTAAAGAAAAATTATTAGACAATGGTATCCAACTCAATCAGAATTCATATCGTAAAGATAATATTGACCTTGCATGCGAAGAAGATGGTTATGGTGTAGATCATTTAAACAACAAATGTCGTAAGTGTTTTATTTACTATTATAAATCTTTTATTAGGCTTTTTTATTACATTTTCAACTTGAAACGTTTGTTTAGTTACTAGGGCAATTTATTTCTTAATGTCTTTTGTTATTTTTCTAGTGGCAAGGTTTAATGTATCTTACTTAGGAAACAAGTTTATTCTGATGAAATTGCAATATTAGTTATTAAGTTACTATACAGGTAGAGCCGCTGAGATGAGAAAACTATAATCAATGTTTTCTGTTGCATTCTAAACTATTCCAACTGAAATACTTGCTAGACTGCTCTTAATTTGTTCTTAGTCTATATTACTTTGTTGTTGTAAATGGTGGTTATATTGAAAAATTATTTTATATATATTCTTTTATATTATTTTGTGGTAAGAAAATTTCATAGCATGAATCTGTATTTTTTTCTAGTTAAAAAGTGCAAATTCAGAAAAATAAAAAAGTTGATTTAATTAACTTTATTGTTTTGTATGTATTTCATTATATGTTATCTTTTTATATGTTTCGTTTCAATGTAGTTAATCAATTAAAAATTCAGATTGCTGTAAAATATATTAGAAAAACAAAAGATTAGTTTTTTTTGTGCTGTATTTATTATAAATAAAATTAAAGAATATTTTCTGCACAAATTTTACCACTAAATTTTGATCCTCACTGATAGCTTATATTAATAGTTTATATATTTTGCAAATAAAGTTTATGTTCAAAATTTTTTTTGTTGACTTTATTTATATTTCAGTGAGAGTTATTTTTAAGGATTAATTATAAATTCTGTTTGAATGATTTGATAAAAAATATTTTGATAGAATGATAAAAGTATTAATGATCAGAAAATAACAATATTTGAGGGTTTAGTTACCTGCTCACTTTGCTAATCAACTCTCATGATTATTACACAATCATTTTTTTGTTTCTTGATGATAAGCATGATGTATCAAATTAAAAAAAAGTATTCAATTGAAAAGTACAGAATATTTTTATCACATATTTAGTTTTTGGTTCTAGTAGGATGGAATTTAAACATAATACTTTTACTTAGCTATCATTGCAACTTCACCTATAATTTGTCTTTTGAGGTTAAATATTCTCGTTAAATATTTTTTTGCAAAAGATATAATTTGGTAATACTGTATCAGAAGTTTATTCCTGATGTTGCATTTTGCATTCATTTTTTTTAATGGCATGTTTTGACTGGACATAGTTTTACATGATACTTACTATAAGAGTAAATATAGTTGAATTATGGTTTTATAATTATAATTGCAAAACAATTAACAAATTAGATTTTAGTAATATAGTGATATTATATTACTTTATAAGGTGATAATATAGATCATAATAAAGGATCACTACCTTTAGATTTAGGTCTTCTACTTGGAAGACTAATCAAAATAAAGAAGGTAATAACTGAGAATATTGCTAAGAAAAAGTTGTAGTGTTGGTATTGTATCCGCTCTAATATTTTCGATTAGAAAACATCTATGGATTAATCGGCAAATCGAGTATCTCTTTTTCCCCTCCCACCCTTTTCATAAACCAATGAGAGTTAGACACACTCTCATACACAAGGATAGCGTATGCTATTCTCTCTGTCCCTTCAATATACATTATACTCTCAATATCTCATTGTTAAAAGGGAGCTAAAAAAATTTCAAGATCGCGAGTTTTTAAGATTCAGAGTGCTCTCAGACTCGAGGATTGCGGATGTAATTCTCTACATCTCTTCAATATATATTTTTTGTTATTGTTTCAATAAATATTGTTAAATTTGGTTAACTGAACTATCTTTATTCATCATCTTATAAATCACCTTCTTGTGTAAATCAACAAAATTTCACCACGTAAATCACCAAACCATCCTCCACAAAGTGATAGATAAGTATTACAAATAAATGCCAGATAATGATTAAAGAAGAAAAAAATATTTTATTAGTGAAAAAACCCTTTACAACTTTTATTAACTTTTCGCTGATGACAATGAAATTGTTTTTGATATTTTTCAAATTAAAAAACTATATCATGGTAATTTATGGCCTGTGAAAAAACATCAACAACAATGAGAAATTCTTTTAGACCATTATGTTCTTGTGTTATATAAAGAATTGTTTTTTGTCACTGCCCATTTTTTTTATACATATTTAATTTTAAAAAATTGCATGCTGAAATAACATTCATTGTTCATTTAATTTTTGCCTGTTAAATTAAAATATCTTGGTTTTAGTTGCTTGTCCTAGTGGTACTAAGGAGGAAAATGATGTGTGCATAGAATGTCCTCCAAACTTCTATCAGTTGCAGACCCAACAGACTCTTTGTCTTAGTTGTCCAAATGATACAGCCATTTTCTCTGAAAATGTGCCTAACACATGCCTTAGTAAGTATAAATTTTAGTGAAAACAATTAAACTTGAATATTCTTAAATTTAAAAAAAAAATGGCAAATGATAAAATAAAGTAATAAATACAACTGAAATAAAACAACTAAATAAAATATAATAAAAACAACTTAAATTGCTTTAGTTATTGATCAACAATTAATCAACAATTAATTAAATATTTTATTTATAGCTTAATGAGTTCACATCAACTATTTATTTCTATTGATATTGAATTTATTTGAAGTTAATTATAATGGTTTACAATTTTTTATTTATTTCATTCATTATCAGAATCTGATTTATTGTGTGTTTTAAGTATGATTTATTCTTTTTGGGATACTATAATATTTCCTAAAGCAGTTTGTAGTTTTGATTAGGGAGAAAGATTGTGTCAGATTAATCATTTTTTAAAATGAAAATAATTAAATATGAAAATTCCTTTTAGCTATTATTATTCAATATTTAGTTAATAATTCTCATTTTTACGATTTATCTTGAATTATTTTATAAATTACCTTTCTGATTCATTTTAACTGTTCACCTTTATTGATGTGCATTTTGTTTCTTTTAGGCTTCTAACATATGTTTTTGTTTCTGTACAAAAAAAGAAGAAAAATTTATTGTTCTTATGTGACATCAAAATCTTGATAGATGCACAGTTCAAGGATTCTGTTATGGTCTGACATTTTTATGAATATCAATTTGATTTACAATGTTCATTTAATTGCGTTCTTTCTGGAAAAATTAAAAATACTTCGTTATTGTATTTTGATTGTTTTACTAAAAGAAAATTTTACAAATTATTATGAAATTTCTATTTTGAAATTAATTTTTATATAGTTTTATAATATTAGCTGTGCTTTTTTATCTGGAGATAATAGAAATTTTTCACATTTATGATTTAAATGTTATATACCTGTATTTCTGCTAAAACTTTAAAAATTGTTTACTAAATCTTTAGACATGATAAAAGGATTAATTTACTTTTTGTTGTTATACATTACTATCTCAATACCATTTAATGAAAGTTAACATTTATCTAAAAGACCAATTCCACACAATCTTTGAATCATAATTGAGGGTGATGAAATTTAAAAAGAATATCAATCTTTGTATTAAATGATATGTTCATGTAATTTTATTGAAAAAAAATGTAAAATTAAAATAAAAAAATTCTTTTTGTTGATATTTTATGCATTACGAATTTCACGAGTTTTAATTTATATTGCAGTTAATATTTTAAACTGTATTTTATGCAGTAAAAATTTGGAACTTACAGTTTATTAAAAACTGGCATTTTTAATTTGAATAAAACAAAATTACTTTAATTTAAAATTAATTCTTTTTTTTAAACTAAAATGTCTTTCAAGTTTATGAAAAAATATATTGCAGATAGAGAATATAAAAAAGTCTTGCTAAAGCTGCATTTTTCTTTTAAAATATGCAAATTTATCTAAAATGTATACTAAAATTCTTTTCTCCTGTTTCTTTTGTTTTTTGTTGTTTTAAAGATTAATTTGTTGTTAATTAGCCAGTTTAATTGTTAAAAAAAAGTATTTGCTTCAAGCTTTTTCATATTCTATTCAATTTTAATTAAGTTTATTTTCACTTGAAAAACAAATTTTTTTTTATTAATTGAGCATAATTTTTTTGGCATAAACTTTGTAGATTTTACTTATTTTGATTACGCATTTTGATTACCAGATATTATGCATTTTAAAATTTATAAAATGTTTCTTCGCTTAAATTTTTATTATGTTTTAAATAAGCTAATTTATACTTATGTCATATTTTTTTCTTCATATTAACAAAAATTGAAAATTTTATTTTTACCATAAGTCTTCTTGTTATACAATTTATAAGCTCTTTAATTACTAGGAGTTGCACATTTTGAAATGTCAAAGTCTTTCCTTCCTTTTAGTTTTTCTTTAAGTTTAAATAAACTTAATTATATAATGAAAATTTAGCAAAATTTTTGGCATAAACCTTGATGTTAAAGATTTCAAATATAATAAAAGGGCATAATTTTGTATGCTGCAACTTGTAAAGAAGCTTATTATTTCATATCATTGTAAAATATTTCTATTAATCGAATTAATAAATTTTTTAGCAGTTTTTTTGAAAATAACATAATTCTGAAACTAGTAGTTATAATATAATTTATTATTATTAAAATTTATTAATTTTAACTAATAAAATATTTAGTAATAGCTATACAACTAACTTTAATAAATTAACAACCTAATATCAAAATGTAAGCTAACTTAGTAAGAATTAGTATGTGTTCAATTTAAAAATAAGTATTTGTGTCATTGTATTTATTTTTCATTTTTTCACTTGTATTCATTTTCATTAAATAAAAAAAATTGAAACTTCTACTTGTTTTAGTTTTATTTCCTAGTTAGGCTCACATGGGTAAAAATTATCCTGATAAAAAAGGTTATTATTTACTCATGATAAATTATTTGCTTAATTTGTTGATAATTTAAATGAAGTCTTGATAAGATAACAGACCTGCATTGGTTTAGTGGTTAAAAGATCTGAGTTGTCTCTGTGTAGAACTGGGGCTCGATCCAAAGTGGCAGTTTAGCGCGGCTTGTGTGCAATCTTGACTACATTGCTGGTCTCGAAATCGTGGAAACCTAACCTTTACGACTCCTTCCCCACAGCAAGTTGTTGTAGGAAGGCTTTTTCTTTATAATATATTTTGCATATACTTCTTCTTTATATGTTGAAATAAGTGTTACTTTGTTCATTTATCAAGAAAGTATTAAGCCTATTTTAAAAAGATAGGAATGTAAATGTATTACAGTTGGATTTGTTAATGAGAAATAAAGGAATAAACAAGCTGACTATGCTCCCTTATTCTCTTCTAAATGATTGCTTACTTAATTTGAAAATCCTTGTTTTGGAACACTACTTTTTAGCAAATTCATGGTTGACAAATATTGACAAACACATTCAGAATAAAAAATTATTTTTTGTTTATGCCTTATTGTTTGCAATGAAAACAAATGAAATGGAGGAAAATTATAAACACGAGTAACAAATGGAATAATTAAACGCAGGAATTAAGGGAAATCACTATCCGGGTGAAACAAAGCATTGTTTGAATTTTTCTCTATAAACATCAGGTGATAAAATTAATTTGAAATTTCATGTATTCCTATAGTAAAAGTATGATAAAAAAGTCAGTGATAATGAAGCTTGCTACAACTTAATTTGGTTTAGCAGATGATAATTTGAATTAAAACTGAACGAGAAACATTTAAATGCAAAGTACTAAGGTTTATTTCATAAAATAATAAAACGTATGCCTCAAGTTATATTGATAAAACAATGTCTCAAATCTTAAAAACTCTACTCTTTCTGTTTTAGTAGTTAAATCTTCCATTCTTATCAAAAATGTTTCATGATTTCTTTTAGAAGTACTATCTAGTGACGAAAATAGCTACTAACTTTGAAAGTTTTCAAAGCTCTGGATCTTTTAATACAACATATCAAATAGTACATTTCTATAGTCTTTCGTCATTTTTTAAAAATTTATTTTTTCAAATCATCAGTCATTTTGTGGACGCCCCGTGAAAAAAATCAAACGTTTCTAAGGGTGTCATAAAATGAGAAATAAAGTATTCAAAAAATACGTAAAACATAAATCTCCGATCGGCCTACAGAGTAATAACACTTTCCGCATAGTAGTCAATCTGCCTCTGATCTCTTTATTAGCCTGCTTATCCCGGCTAAAAGTAATTTGACTGATAGTAGAAATACCTATGTTAACAGGTATCGTTAACGTAAGAGAAAAAATCGTAATTTTTATTTTTCAATTACCGAATTATCATAAGAAATCATTTCTCTTGTTGATATTCACATAAAGGAGAAAGATACTTCTTTTTTAAGCATTGACTAGCGAATGGTTAAAATAATCTTTCGCCTGTTTTAAATGACGTTTTCTGAAAAACGCAGTTATTCAGGCTTTCTATTTGGATATTTTTTCCATTTTAAAATAAACACTGAAATTTAAAAAAAAAATCATTCCTATATAAGGCACAAATTCGACCCTTCATTCATATTAAATCTGCTTATGTTTTAATTCATGGTCTTTAAAAGGCGTTTTTATAAAATATTGTTTTTTACGCTGGCATACCAATCAGATTCATAATATCACGATGAACTTTCAATCGTTATATTTATGCCATTTCTGTTTGCTTGTATATTTAGTGTTCGATTAAGTAAAAAAATTATTTGGACTTGGCATTTTCTAAAAAGGTCTAAGTTTATTATTTATGTAATTGAAAAAATGTAAGCTCAATAATAATAAACATGTATTTTTAAACTTTAAGCTCAATAATAATAAAACATGTAATAGAACATTATTTTTAAACTTTAAGCTCAATAATAAAGCATCTAATGGAATATTATTTTCAAACTTTAAGCTCAGTAATAATAAAACATGTAATTTCCTTACAAAGTAATGGGAATTGCACTAGTCCGTTGTAAGTATAAATTTGGAACCAAAATGGTTAGAAATGAAAGAAGTTGCAAAGGATAAAACCGCAAGCGGATAAATGATTTTTTTTATTTTAAAAAAAGGCTTAATTATTGTCATTTAAATGAGTTTTTACTGATTCTTTTGGATCAATGTTATCAAATATGCATACCGACGTTTATGTAAAATAAGTAAAAATTAATAATAATAAAAAATAGATTTTTTTCTCTCTAAAATTTCAAATTTTTTAAAATATTTAATATCGTTTATCCTTTTCGCGTTGTTTTAAGAAATGCATATAGAACGGCATTAAAATTATTTACAAATCATAACGTTTCCGTGAAAGCAAGTTTTTTTTTTTTCAGAATATAATTTCAGTCATTGTTAAGTTACTTGGAATAGATTTCCAAACCATTGTTCATCAAAGAAACACATATTGTTAACACATTAAAAATTTAAGAATTATATATATTCCATGAAAGTAAATAGTTTTAGTATTTTTTTGTTTTTGATAAAGTATATCACGAAAGATTACGATAATACTTTTAGTACATTAAATAATGGTAACCTAATTTCCTATAGTAAACTTGAAGCTAATTTTCTCTGATTAACTTAAGCGAATTAATATTACTTTTTTTGAATAATAAGACTTGTTATACTAATGTTTCTTAAATTATAATTTAATTGTATTTTCAATAGTTTATAAATTCTTGATTGACTTTAAATACGTTTAAAGGCAGATATATTTGTGTTTGCTATGAAGAAAAGAATATGTAAGTGATTAAAAATTTATTTTTTTTAATAATATTGCTTAAAACTCTAAAAAAAGGAAGTTGTGATAGTTGAAAAGTTGACTTTAATCTCGTTACGCCAGGTGGCGCATGAGGTCACAAGTTTGGAGTTTCATTCCTCCAGGTCCTTGTACTCCCCCAATTGGGTCGTCCCAGGATTTTTCTTTCCTTTATTATCATTGTCATCAAGTTAATTTCAAACGGCCTCTTTTCCGTTTTCCATCCGGCTTCCATATCAAAACTGTTCGAGTTGGGTCTTTTGGGGACATTCTTAGATTGTGTCCTATCAAGGACCATCTTGATTTTTTTTCTTCATGTTTGTTGTGATGGGTTTGGTTTTTGCTTTATTATAGAGCTTGTTTGTGATTTTATTTCGTTGGTATTTCTTTAAAATTCACTTGTAGCGTTTAGTTTGAAAAGTATCGAGTTAGTTTTCTTGTTGTTCTCCGAGTTTCCACGACTCGCTGAGAGCCCAGATTTAACTGCATAAAAAATTTGTAACTTGAGTTTAGTATAGTTTAGTATTTAAGTTAGATGATTTCCAAATTCTTTGAAATTTCCTGGAAGAATATTGTGCATTTTTAATTCTTACTTTGACGTTTTCCTTTGTACTACGCTCAGTAGTTACACTTACTCTAAAGTAGTTAAAATCTGTTTTTTTTTTCAATTTCTTTTCCATTAATAAATATGTCATCATTTTTACTGCTACTAATTTTTAGTATTTTGGTCGTTTTCTCATCACATCAATTTATAATCCAACCTGTTTCGCACCTTTTTCGTTTCGGTTGCATAACAACAGGTAATAATACAATATTGTCAGAGTAATCTAGGCTCTCTAGATTTTCTTTGAATTAAGTATTGGTCGCTTATCCAATCAATGACTATATTAAACAGCATTTCAGACATTACGTAGCCCTGTTTGACGCTAGCTTTGATGTTAAAACATTGTGTTGTTGCACCATTTACTAAAATTTTCCTATTACTATTTTCATATGGGCTTTTAATTACATTGATTCTTTTTATGGGAAACCTATGTATCTTGAGTATTTTACAAAGACATTCTCGGTTAATGTGTTTCAAGAGCTTTGGCAAAATCTATAGAATTTCTTTTCTTGAATATCTTTTCATCAGCTATTCTATGAAAGTTTCTTTATAAGGAAACCAATAAAATCAATTTTAATAATCTTGATTATAAAATAAAAAACACTTAACAAACTAATAAATTGTGATAAAATTTAGTTTTTGACTGTAGTTAAATTTTTAACCTTTCAAAAATCAATCTACAAAATGTAACAAAAATATGTAAGTGTACTCATACTCGCGAGTGCTTGAGTACACATGTGAGTTATAAAATACGTACCCGCATTTAACGATTGCTTACTAGTATTTAAATATTGCATGCTAGCATTTAATTATTTTATATTAGCATTTAGCTATAACGGTGCCATATGGCTCTGATGCATTGATTAAAAAATATAAAAAAAAATTAATTAAAATAAGTTGGCAGTTTTTATTTTCTCATAACATATAAAAGAAACGTAATTAAATTTTAATTACCGTTACCTTTGTTTCATCGATAAAAATACGTTCTTAGGTTAGTAATTAATAAGTTTCTAAATCTGAATTTTTGGAAAGAGTAGTTTAGACAAATAATTTGGAAAATTTATTTGTAATTGATAATTTAAAGCTATTTTTAATGTTAAATATCATAATTGCAATTTATAATGTCATTGATGAATAAAGAATTGTTCGTTACTTTAACAAAAAAATGCCATTGTACTTAAAGTGCCACATTCGTTTGTACCAATTTTACGGTATTTTAATCTATATGTTCTTTTAGGAAATTTTTTTTAAAAATCTAATAATCTGAAATATTTTGCTAAATTAATAGTATCGAACAGACATTAAAATGAAATAAAGGTAATGATTTTAGAAAAGTTATTTTTGTATTATGTTACTTTTTCGCTCGAGCTTACAAGTGCTACTTGTGTGACTACAAAGGTCCCTTAATCGAGAAATACGTGAATAAGTTTAATCAGTTTTTTCGAATAACAATACATTTAAAAAATTTTAATAAATGCTCTGAAAAATTGTAGCAAATATTGTAGCAGTTTCACGCCTTAAACAAACACATTTTTTCAATATCAATTGACCACTTCGAAAAGCTATCAACAATTATTTCAGTGCTCGCATGAGCCATTTCTTTTTAACATATTATTTTATCGAATTGAAATTTCTTCTATATGTTCTACTTCATTACGTTTAATGCAATTTATATACCGTGTCGTAGTGACATGGTCACTACGAAAATATTTGTATTTGAACGATAGGATATTTATTTATGTTGAATTTAAATGTTTTAACTTAGTCATTATTCTAGATAGGGTAGCAAGACTAGGAATTTCCTATTTGAAATTAGGAGTGTCGCCATTTTTTTTTTGGACTACGCATCTTTGGATATGTTGATTTTGTGTGGGGTCCTTAAGTTCTCATCAATGACTTCAATTTTTGGCCCTAGTTGCTCAAGGGATAGAGCGCTTGCCACCAAATTAGGTAAATTGGGTTCGAATCCCAACGACGGCTGGCTGACTTGAATTCCACAAACGGCTCGCACCGATCTCAGTGCTGACGTAAAATATCCTCAGTGGTGGACGGATCATGGGTTAGAGTCCCCTTGCCATCAGGCTAACAGTGGGGAGGTTTTCGCACTATCCCTCTCCATATAATGCAAATGCGGGTTAGTTTAATCGAAAAGTCCTTCACGAAAGAAAACTTCTCCCAATACCTGATCCAGGAGTTCCCCTGTCCTCTGGATTGGGTTCAAAATTACGAAGCTACAGAGTTAAACACCGATAATGGTAGACTCAGAACATGGTCAGCTGTTTAATGCCGGTTACAAAATAATATAATATATTTAAGTGTCGCGTAAATTTGTGATAAATCATTACTTACAAAATGAACGTCGAATTGTAACTTATCGTTTTCTATTTACAGCAATAATGAAAATGATATAAACACTACTTTATCAATATTTTTTAAAAAAAAGAGCAAATTTCCGGATTTAAAGTGCGATACAAGTAGTCGTAAACTCAAAATTGCGACGGTTATAAAATAAAAATAAAATGATTTCAATTTAGGGAGTAGTGTTTTAAAATGGTTAGCTGGTGGGTCAACAAATGGGAAGAAAGAACACGGAAAATAGAAGAGTTTGTCGATTTTTTTTTTCTCAATGAGATACATCACGAAAAATGTTATTGAGTGAAAAGATGGTTTTAATACAGATGAAGACATTCTGGAGAGAGAAAGCTTCGAAAAATTAAAAGATGCTGATCTGCAATTATTTAAAGTTACTATCTGGTTAATGAAAAGTATATGGAATTTAATGAAAGACTATAAACGTCTAATGTGTTGAAAGAACACTTTCTTTTTTAAAATTTACAGAAGAGACTCCATTATCTTCTATTAGGGTCATTATTGAGATAATTTTTATTCTTTTATTGTTTTCCCGTTTGCTTGACTTTTGACTTGCTCTCTTCCTCTTAATCATTTTTTAAAAGATTTAATCTCATAAGTTTTTCCTTTAAGTGTTCGGTACAATATATTAATTGATTATGTTACATCTCGAATGTATTAATTCTTTATATGTATTTGGCTAATCTCAGATATTATAGATATTTTATTTCCATTTCAATGATTTCTCTGTTTATTATTATTTTTTAATTGAGCTTTATTCACACCACTTTAATCCTGTATCAAGCAAGACCCTGGTTATGATTTTACATTGCGGTAAGTGATGGGTTATCCGACAAAAAAATACCCCACCACACACAGTAAAAACTCGATATAACGAGTGCGGCTTACTACGAGAAGTTCACAATTACGATAAGTTTCCAAGCCAACATCAAAATGCTTATATTAAAGGTAAAAAAATTGTTTGTTTATCGATCGATTAATAAATTACTATTCTTCTGCAATTGCGACAAAAATGTTTTGAAGAAAAGACGTGTTTCTGCTGTTTAAATGAGTAAAATAACACGAAAAACCTTACCACCTTACTATCTTCTTCCAATTTTAATCCAATATGTTAATAAAACAAACATCTGTGAGCAACCATAGACTAATTTATCTTTCTTTTTACAATAAAAAAAAAAAATTGGTATTTTGAAGAATCCTGCTGCCCACCTCAAATGGGTTTTCTTTCGTCAGCCAATTTAACTCCAGTTATTGCTATTTTAGCATTAAATATGTGTTTACTTATAACGACCATTCCATTTGCCATTGTGAATTGCCGTTATGACGGGCTTTTTATGTATTTTAATATTATTTAACGCTAATTTTATTTTAAATTTTGTTGGCGTCTCAATAGGTTTTGTGGTCCTACTGATCTCATTTTGTGTGTTAACGGATGGAGCAGCATTAAACACATTTAATGCTAAAGATTGTCTTTTAACCTTCATCAACTGTGCAAAAGAAGACACATACCCTATTCAAAAATGGTATTTTTCAATTGAAAAGTAAGAAAAAAGTTTTAATATAATTTTTTTTATGATTTATTATTTGTTTAACAATACATTTGTTCCATTAATCATTTGATTAAAAGGTTATTAGTTTAACAATTATTCAATTCTTTTCTTTTAGTCACTTTTTTTCATTTATTCCTGGTTTGTTTATTTTTTTGTAAATTCATTTCCATATCATCCCCCCCCCCCAATTACGTTTATATTTCATTTAAATCCAAAAGATAGAATAGAATCATTATTTAGTTGAATATAGAATTATTTGTACTAACTATCGGATCTTTTTCGAACTTTGATGCACTATCGAAATATGTAATAATATAAAGAATTTATTTGTTTGCGTTTTGATTTCTCGGCAAACGATGTCACTCAAAGCAACGTAATATAACATGACGGTGATGGTCAGTCTTGATAGTATCATCAAGAAGTAAGATGGTTTTGGATGGATGCTCATGACTGTAAGCATCTTTCTCATGTTGACTCATCATAGAAAAATCATCAAAAATTTTGTCTTGGGAAAATGAGGATCCATGATGACCTGCATTTTTCACGTTCAAGCCTGTTTTACGAATTTTAGTCTCAAATTCGGGAGTTTTTTTTTTTTAATTTTCAAATACTGCCGTGGGACTTATGTTGCACCTTTAAGTTTTAATTTAGATGCTTCCTCCTTTAATTGTTCAGAAATAATAATGCTGTGATACTGAGTACTAAGCACACTATTAAATAAAACTTAAAATTACAAATCACTTTTCTTTGAATTATTTTTACATGATAATACCAGGGTAGTGGAGTAAAAAGATTCTTCATGACGATACTGCAATGTTTTTTCCCAACTTTGAACACTGCAACGTATGGGCGCCGTGCATAATGTTTTTATCCTCAGTTGGAAAGTTGTTATTGCCTAATAAAAATGAAATATATAAAATGTAGTTTTCATAAAAAGTAACATTCGGTTTAAAAGAAAATGTACTAAAGTTTCACGATCCATAAATAGCTGGAGGCTTATTTGCTGAAAATATCAGCAGTGGCTGAGTTACTTTCTTTAGGGCATGGCAACAGTGATTTTAGATTTTTGAGAGTATTTCATCGTAGTCTTCTCTCTTTGATAAAACTGACTATTTTTTTTTTCTTTATCAGATGATTTGTCAGTTTATCTTCTTGGTCTGTTTGAAAAATCTAGCCTTACTGTAGTTAAATACAGCTTCTTTTTAAAAAAATTTTGAATACGTGAAATGAGAGTTATTAAAACATTTGAAACGAGATTTTTAAAATATGAGGATGGAGCATTATACCAAATACTTCATAAAGGAGCTGTTACCTTATCAGCCATACTTAATAGTTAAACCAGCTGAAAGTAAAAATCCAATTATATTTGATTAAAATATGGCAGGTTAGACTTTCTATCGCTCTTCTGACCATACTATGAACACCATCACAGGAATGCTAACTCGATGAAATATGAAACATGTTTTTGTGTTTTGTTTCCACTTTCATGTTCATCGAAGTAATTTTATCTTATATTAAAACAAAACTAAATTAAACTCTAGCTTATATTTGAAGTTGTTCTAGTTTTGTGGTAAACAGTGGGGAGAGTAAACAAAACAGACAATATAAAAAAAAACTATACACTTGACTTGCGTCAATGTATTTTAAATCACAATATGACCATATTTTTCAATTAGAACATAGCTCAAAGTATTCACTATCAATAAAACGGGTTATTTCTTTGCAAAAAATTTCATTTTTAATAACCCTGAACTGGGAACAATCCCGATGCCTTTATTTTTCTATTCCAACATTTTATTGTAAAAATTGTGTGAAGTTCAAATCTCGGAGTCGTTGTGGGTTATGGGATAGAGCGTTCTTCTCCCAATGAGGTGAGCCCAGGTTCGAATCCCAGTGGTGGCTGGTGGATACGGATTCTGCTTCCGGCTTACACCGGCCACAGTGCTAGCAGAAAGTATTTACAGTGGTAGACGGTACATGAGTTAGAATCATCTGGCCGTTGGCTGACCATGAGAGATTTCGTGGTTTTCTTCTCCATTTAACGTAAATGTGTATTAGTTTCATCAAAAAAATCCTTCACGTGTGCTAAGTCGTCCCAATGCCATACCTTAACCCAAGAGTTCCCTTGTCTTCCGCTTTGGGTTCAAAACTGCAAGGCTAAGAAGTTAAACATCCAAAATAGTAGACTCAGAATAGGGTCAGCTGTTTAACGCCGTTTATAAAATAACATAATATTTAAGTCTCGAGTGAATTTGTGATCAATCTTTACTTACAAAATGAACATCGAATTATAACTCATTGTTTTTTCTATTTACAGCAATAATGAAAATGAAATAATCACTACTTTATCAATATTAAAAAATAAGATGAACAAATTTCCAGATTTAAAGTGCGATATTGAAAACTGCTACGAGAAGAAATCATTCGAAGGTACGTACTTTTAATTTTTGTTTTAGCATGAAAGCAAAAAACTATCTCACCGGTGAGCTTTTTTTTGTCTGGATACAAATAAAAATTCCGCGTGTTTTAAAAACAATTGACACACCTGGAAATGCGTGTTTAAGAAAATGGGCACAGTTCCAAATGCGTGTTTAAGACAATGATCCCAGCTCAAAATACGTATTCTAGAAATTGGACACAGCAAAAATACCACTTTTTTAATGTTCTACCCAAATTTAGCAATTAAATGAGGGATTTCTTTACCATTGTATAGGCAAATAGACGTAACTATAATGGAAGTAACTATACTATAGGCAGATGAACGACATCGCAAAACGAATTTATTTGGATCAAAGAAAAGAACAATTTTCATAAGAGAAGTTAGAAAAACGGAATGTCAATTTTCTTAAACACGCATTTCGATTTGTGACCATTTTCTTAAACCCGAATTTTACAGAAACTGTGCCCAATTTCTTAATCACAATTTTCGAGCTGGCGTCTATTTCCATAAACACGCACTTTGAGCTGCGTTCATTTTCTTAAAAACGCGTTTCAAGTTGTGTTCATTTTCTTAAACATTCTTGTTCTTTCATTTTCTTTCGAGGTGTTTTCGTAAAAATCTCTCCGACAATCTATTGAGGGGAAACACCAAAATTTAATTGTTTTTAAGAAAAAATAATTTATTTTAATTATTTGCGCACAATTTGTCAATATGCTTAATCGAAAACATTCCTCCTAAGATTATAACTTAAAATTTATACATAAATGTGAAAAGTAGAGCATACCGTTTTTAAGAAATATTGCAGTTTCTTCATAAAAGTCCTATACTATCGACTACGAGGATAGAATTTAAGACTAGTGAAAAATATTGTGAAAATTAAAGAGTCGAGAGTTAAATTTTATTCTATTATTAGTTATTAAGGAACATTATTAAGGATAAAAAAACAAAGCAATCCTGATTTACAAACATATAATTACTAGAAAAATAAAAAGTCAGTATTTTAACCAGAGTACACACTTTGAGGTCAACATGGAAAAAGGAAAAAATATATATATATATAAATATTTAGTAGCTAGTATTGGAGACAACTTCTCAAGTTTCATCAAATAATCTTGGTTTATTGATAGAACTAGTTTTTGACAAACTTGTATCTTTTGACGAATGGAGTATCTTTTATATCATTCATTTTTAACGATGAATTTCAGCTTTTTGCATTAACTTGTCTTTCAAAAGTACTATACACCGTAAAAATTCCGGATAAAATTGCGGTGTAAGATACAGGCATTTTCTTGCATCATCCATAAAATCCATTGTACCATGAAATCCATTTTATCGTAAAAATTATTTTACGATAAAATCCATTGTAACGCAAATTTTTTTAACCGTAAAATACATTTTACCGTAAAGCAAATTTTACCGTAAAATCCATTTCTCCTTAAAATCAATTTTGCCGCAAAATCTATTTTTACCGTACAATACGACTATACCGTAATTTTTACATTAATATTTATTTAATTAGAGTTATTCAGTGATTTTATGTTAGTTATATTACCTTAAAGATTACGGTATATCAGATTTTTTTTTGCTCCGTAACATATTCCGCTAAAAATGGATTTTAGGGTAAAAAAGCACCCTTATCCTGAGTGCCAGTGCTTTTTACCGAAATTTTATTTTAAATTTTTTTACAGTGCGCAATTTCTTTATTGGGTTAAGATCTGGAAATTTAACTGGTCATTTCAAAGTTTAAACATTGTTGACTCGAATCAATTTTTTGAACTGAAGTGACACACTCAGGAAGCAGTATGAAAGAATACAGGTGCTCATTCAGGTGTCAAATTCCTATAGTCTTGCATTAGGATGCGCAGAGGTGATGTGCGCATTAATGCAAAAGTAAGGGAATCTGTCTCTTAATTACCACTCGCTTCTTCAGTATGTGCTTGGCTTACTCGCATGGATAGAGGCATTGCCTTGATAATATTTCTAATTCTCCCCTGCCGAAAGTTCAGCATTTGGTAAAAAAAGACTTAAAGTTTTTTTTTCTTCCAATTTTCTCAAAATTTTTTACCGGCCCTAAAGATTTTAAGTGCAGTAACGAATTCAGTAATTGAATCAAAAGCATAACTTGAAAAATCATAGCTTATTGAAAATATGAATGCATATAGTTTTTAAATAGTAATTAATACGTCTTCCCCTCAAAGTTTTAGAACCAGTTTATCTCTTCTTGGCAAAAAGTCTACCAGAATTTATAATTTTGTCTACTATTTGTGTCAGTTATAAGATGGCGCTGCCATCAAAATTGTCCGGTCTAAGATCGTTAGTTTATATTGTGTTTTCCTATTTCGTAATAAAACTTATTAAGTTTTGCTTTGGAGTTTTTTCAATAAGTCCATGTCAATCTAAACCGCAGTTACTACACTTCCTTATACAGTTTTCAACAATTTCTTCAATCCTATACCTTATTTAAAATAATGAACAAAATGATTCGCTGAATTTTCCATTCTGAAATACATTTTTGAGAATCTTGGCCAGCTGATAGCCCATAAATTCTCTATGGTATTCCGACTTAGAGAATTTCTCTGCCAATTTAAAAGAGTCACTTTATTCTTGGCAAAGAATTCCTCTATTTTCTTTGGATAATAGAAAGTAGCCAAATCTTGAAGAAAAATTCTCTTTTTGTAAATGGAAAACTCATGTTTAACTCAAGTCTCATTTTTTCTGTCCATTTTTTACTCCTACTGGTCGCTGTTCATCATTTCTTTAATAGGAACGTGTGTCCATCCAACGTATCCCAAAACATCTTTTTTAAAAGTTAGGGAATTCAAACATTTTTCTTGATTTAATTAATATTTCGATACTGTACACTGTGAAGGAAAGCTAACATTTTAATAACTTTTAAACTAATATGATCTGGTTTTTATGTTCTAAAACTCAATCGTAACCTTTTCGTGATGGGCGAGTCACAAATGTATTCGTACGAACAAAGAATTAGGATGGTAAAAAGTAAAAAGCGGTATCTTAAAGTATGGGGAATGGTTAATTTGACAGACTCGTTTTTGCTGTCACTTTAAATCTAGCACATCCAATCCATGTCTGTTAAAAGCGTAACTATATAATTTTTCAATTTGAACTTAGTAGTGGTGAATTAAATATAGTAAACTATTATTACCCCACCCACTAATAACCTGCTATAAAAATAGATTGGCTAACAGTTTTATCTTTTTTACCCTGATTGTCGCCAACCTGGGAATGCATATATGACTCGCACGTTTCGAAGAGGTTAATGGTTTGAGGGCCTAATCATAAATGTAAAAATTAATTAAAGCAAAACATATTCTAAGTTGCAAAATCAGACACAAAACGTATTTTCTCTGAATAAACATACAGTTTTTCTACAAATTCGAATTTTTGGAGCCCTCAAAATATTGTAATCTGAAAATAGTGGTCCCAATAGTTTAGGCAGGAGAGTGATCGAAAGTTCAAGCCATTTAATTTCAATTTCCTTTTTGTGCATTTCGAAACTTATAAAGCGAATAAAAATGTTTTTGAGCACCATTATGAAACTTGTTTATCTAAAGATAAATTGTTTGTTAGTTTTCATAATTATTAATTACTTTTTATACTTTAATTTACTAATGGTCAAAAAATTTTGAATTGTAAGGTGTAAACAAATTTTAAAGATTTTATCTGCTGAATTTTAATTGACAAAAAACTAAAATTTGAAGGTCGTTGGTTGAGTAGCCCTTGAGGAATAAAAATATAAAAATACAAAAAACACGATGTCTCTGAGATGTCGTAATGCGCAGTAAAGGGAATGAAAATCTCGTTGTTCTGCCTATAGGGGAGAGTGGCGTCAATTGTAACAGGGTACGATTGTAACAAAGCAAAAATTTGAAAGTCGGGTTCTAGATTTGGTTCCTAGGTGGCGCACAAGGTGTATTTAATAAATCTACATGTACACCCCTGCTGGCAACCATTTTTATGTATTTTTGAAAGAGTTACATCACAAAAGATATTTTCACACTACGTCAGTACTTTTTTTGGTATTAGAATATTATATTGTAACAAAGTAATTTTGTTTAAACAAATAAAAATTATTAACCGAATATGTAAGTGGACACCTTAATTAACATTTAAAAAAAAAGAAATTAGTTTTGCTTATTAACTAGCATTGTTTTTAACAAATGAAGCTGAAATGGCGTCTTGGGGACAATTGTAACAATAAGTAAAGGGACGATTGTAACAGCTGAAAATAAATAATCTTATGTTTACAAACCATTACTTAACTCTTTAAGAACCACCAATAGTTTCCTATATCATTTATATTATGTTGCATGTGCATTATTTTATTTGTCACCTTTCACAGCATAAATTAAAATTTTTAACCCCTTAAAGTTAAAAGTTTAACCCTTTAGGTCTCTGCTCATTATTATTTTTACTCCTAAAATATCACTACTATTTTGATCAAATAAAAAATATATCACAACTATGATAATATGTGTAATTAACTATGTTTTAGTTGAATTTATGAACTGTTACAATTGACCCCGTAAGCGGGGACAATTGTAACAAGTGCACGACTGTCAAAATTTGTTAATAACTTATATAATAATATTTAAAATAAGGTATTTTTTTTTCTAGTAGAGGATAGTTTACTTTACTCGTCTGTCAATTAATACTAATAATATATTGGATTTTTTGTTAGTTAAAAATAGTTAAGTAAAACATGTTACAATTGACCCCACTCTCCCCTACTATTGGGAGTATAATTTCAAGATTGCCGAAATATTAGTATATATGGAGATAAAAATCCGAAATCCGCTAAGTTAACTATTAGGAACAATCCAAATACGTTTTTGTGACTGTGGTTTCGTTAATTAAATTATGGTTTGAACAAATATTCTCGTATATATAAACGGTTACTCTTTGGAGTAATTCAGATTTCTTCCAATAAGTCAAAGTTAAATAACTTCATTAAGAGTTATTAATGTGTTTTTTTAATCATTTTACGCAATGAGCATGCTTTTATTTTTACAGGATGTGCTCTATAAATATTTAAATTTATTTAATAACAAGTGGAATAACGTAAACATAAAAAGTATAAATATTTTTCATTAATTTGCTTCAAAAATTTATGCACAAAAATGTTCTTTCATGAGGTTTCCCTTTATTGATATAAAAAAAAAGAAAAATTGAAATTATCTTGGAATATTGTTTATCTTAAAAAGGTAGTTTAGATTAATTACTTTGTTTTTAAATTTAAATATCAAATTTTTTTTAAACGTTAAATCATAGTTTTATTGACTCCTCTTTTAAATTTATTTTCCCTTATTTTTGATGTTATTCATTATTAAACCACAATTTATTTTAAAAACAAGCTCTGGGAAATTGTGATAGACATTGCATGTTTATTTTTTTATAGGAAACTAATAATGCGTCGAGAAAACTTAAGTTTTAAATGACTACACAATAAAAGTTAAATGCCAAAGTGTTTTTATTTTCAATAAAAATTAACTTCCTTGTCATTCAGATTTTTAATGCAACGCAGCAATTTTTTTAATAGTTTATAATGACGGGCTTAGTACGAGAGAAATATTTACAAAACTTGATCTTAGGCGCAAATTGCTTCAAAAAATATGTCAAATCTGGTGACAAATTGCTTTCATAACGAGAATTGAGCGCTATAATGATAACAGCAACTGACATTTGATGTTCTGAAAGCTTAATATAAATTTATTTTGTTTCAAATTTGCATCCTATGAAATTTTTTTAAATTTTTATTTATTTCAAAATTTACATAAAGGTAATGAACGAATGCAACCTTTATATTTTTAATATCACTGTAATATATCCTTAATAGTTTAAAAAAGAAATGCTTTATTCAAATCCTTTCTTCAGTTTCATATCTTATAATTTCTTCCAACCAATACAATGTAGATAATATGTCAAAAACACTAGAAAAATTCCAAAGCATATAAGTATTGAAGGTTATAAAAGATTTGAAACTAAAAGAAAGTTTATAATAACAGTTTCAAACCTTTGTGACTGAAATTATGAATTTTCAAATTTTGAATTCCGAAGCATTGTTTATCGTGCATTTTATTGATTTTATTAGAAAATCAATACAATTTCTTATGATTTGTTTAAGGCTTTTCTTCGAAAATTCTGCAATCAAACACTTTTTAGAGAAAAATATGTTATTTTTATAACTTTTGTGAGTTTGTTTGGCAAAGTTTTGTCTATCTTTTAGCTCAATCATTAGCATTATTGCCATTTGGCGCAAAATATTCTCATATGCGATACATAAGCTTACTTAGTATCACATAAAATTGGTAAAACTGATCATTTATGAGAAAATCGCAGTGATATTTCTTTTATGTCATTTTTTTTATTCTTCTTTTCCATGTTTCAGAAAGTCGATTTTTTCTGTCTAATTTGAAGATGAAGAAAGATACGTTCTCAAACTTCAAATGTGAAAATCCCATACATTATGCTTTTGGGAATCAATCGAGCCCGCATTATACAGGTCCATCAGCATCATGTGAATCCTTAAATATATTTTTCTAAAAGAACTTCTAAATTATCAAACATGGTTTTTCAAGTTTTAATACAATGATAAGCTTTTTCTTAGGTATAAAATGTTATAAATGTTAGGTTAAAAATAATGTTTAAAGTAAGTAATGTTACTCTATGCAAATGTAAATGTTTTAATTTAATTTATAAGGCTGCGCCATAATACATTATAAGCATTCTTATGTATTATCAACTCAAAATATAATATATTATTATTCTTATCAAAAATGAAGTCTAAAAATATGCATAATAAGGGTTTCATCTCATATTTAAGCGTAGAAAAAACAAAAACGTAATCAAAACTGGAATAATCATTGACAAGGATATTGGAATTGAAAACATCAAAACTTTTTTGATTGACACTGGAAACTAAGAGGAGATTGATTGGAATTCTTGGAAGCATTTTCCAGGTAACCAAACCAGTTTTGATATTATTAATCTCATCTTCTTTTGGACTCGCTGGTTTGGTTTTTTCTTCCAAGGGTGATAGATTTTGATTTTTGCTTTCTTCAATATAATTTCTTTTTCAATATTTCTTAAAAACGAAGTCTTAAAATATGGGCAATAAGGGTTTAAACTTAATATTTACGCGATTGATAAACAAAAACATAATAGAAACAGGAATAATTAATGACAAGGAAGTCGGGTTCATAACACCAAAAATTTGTTTGGGTGAAGGAGAAAATTTGTCAATACTGACAAGCCTATTTTAGGGCAGAGGGGTGCTCTCAGGGGCCCCCAACAGGGGGGGGGGGAGATGGGCGCACGATGCGCCCACTTAAACCTTGGGGGGGAATTTTTACACTAAATAAAACGAATAGTTTTTTTGGGGGGGGNAATAGTTTGGGGGGGGAGATTTAGAATTTGCCCAAGAATGCGCCCAAGAGCTTGGGGGGATGGGGGCCACTGGGTGCTCTTCTTGTTGTTTTCTAGTGGCGCCATCTATTACCAATAATTTGACGTCTATCAAAACAATACGTTACAACCCGTTTATCAGTTAGGACACATTCTCACACCATCCATCTATTTGCGGATAGTTATTTTAACCTGAACCAGAACGCGATCCATCACTTATCCAGTACTCCTAAAGGTATTGATTTGTTATAGGAACTTGGTGGTCTGCACTAATTAACTAGTATGTTTGACGTCCTTTAAACCATTGAGATTGAATTTTATTCTGTGTGTTCCGTATTTATTTTCATTTATTTAGCTATTATTGTTTTTTTGCGCATCGTAAATCCAAAAGCCTGACGACTCCCAAACGAATCCAAGGCGGTTATACAATCAAGAGGTTGAGTTACAGGTTATTAAATGGTGATTTTTATGATTTTTTTCTCTCTCAAACAGGTTTATCACTAATGGTTTATTTATCTCTCAAACAGGTTTATCACTATTTTCATTCAAACAGGTTTATCACTAATGAATAAACCTGTTTGACATTGGTTTTGATAACAGCGCTAAAAATATGTTTCATAAGTTTTATACGTATGTGTTTTCTTATATTGAATATTGAATGTGCTCAAGCTGTAATTTAATCTTTTAATCAGGTATATTTCCATCTGATATGCAAAGAAAGAATGATACAGCGATCAATAAAAAGACGAAAACTGGAAAGATTTTTATTCGGAAAAAGATGAAAGATTCAAATAAATATAAGCTTTTTGGGGTAGGAATTCCAGAAGGTAAATTAGTTGCCCATAAAAATAAAGGCAATGCATCTGACAAATATAATGTGAAGATAAACAAAGATGAAGAAATTGTCAACGGTAATGTTTTAGTATTTATGATTATTAGCATTATTGCTAAGTACTTGCAATATTTATTTCATATGTTGTATGTAATGAAACTAGCATGTATTCCTTGTTTTTTAAAAAAAAAATATTTTAAAAAATCTATTTTTAAAATATATATTTGATTCTTTCCTTTTTAATAGTTTTCAAAATTTTATACTTAAACCATTAAACTAAGTCTTAATATTAAACTTTGCAAAATCAACTAAAGGATTACGAAATTAAGACTTGCTTTTAATACATCACTGAGTGAACTGTAATAAATCATATTATTTAGTGCGAGTCAAGCAAGCGGAAATAGTCTTGAGTTTTTAAATGTTTTAAAAATATTTTTTTAATACTTAGTTTTAAACTTTATTCGTGAGAAACCACACTTTCTAGTAACCTAGAAATGTCAGTTTATTTATTCATTTTTTGGAGAGGATTTCATTATAAATGCATTTTTAATTCAATTCTACGATTTTCTGCTTTTACAATACTCAACTCAGTAGCCTAGTCGTTTCGAATCTAACACAGAAGAAGAGTTTTCTTGATTAAGCATTAAGAAAAGTTCACTTTCGTCGAGTTAGTAGAACTACGTTAGTAATTGTTACTTGGTGAAAATATTCTGTTACCTTATGATACAGATTTAGAGCAATCCATTAGACATTCGTGTGTTAATTGTACGGAAAATCAATGTTTGATGTTCCCATTTTTGTAAGCTGCAAAAATTTTAACTATACATATTTTTTTTAAAATTACTCTTAGTTACGTAAATAAAAATTTTTTTGCCGCAAAAGCATTTCAGAAATTGTCCACGTTTTTGTTTGAATATATTCACAGTAATAGATGTTGCAGTTTATGTAAAAAACTGATTACACTCTAAGAGAAGTTAGGAAAGTTGGTTTTTAATTTATACGTCCAACTCTATTTTTTAAGGTACGCCCAGTGCCCATAATTGTTACGAAGTTCAACAAAATTAGTTAAGTTGGCCATTAATTTATATGGTTATTATACAAACTTTCTTAATTCAATTCGAAGTGTGCATCCTTTTCGGGATCGATCCCAGCCGGTGCCAAAGAACATCTTTCTCTAAAATAATTTGAAAAAGAAAACAGTCAGGCACCGCTCTTAATCCTCGACAGATGACGGAACTACACTGTTTTGCTTTGCTCCATGATTCGCATCGCGTTCACGGTAAAGGGACAGTAAATTTCATGAAAAAGAATTTACAGCGTTTTAATGTCATGATAGTTTTACGGGCAAAAATTTATTTTTACGTTCAGTGACTAAAGCACTTTTTGCCGGTTACGGTAAGGGACAGTAAATTTTACGAAAAGGAATTTACAGTATTTTAATGTCATGATAGTTTTACAGGCAAAAATTTATTTTTATGTTCTGTGACTAGAACACTTTTTGTCGGTTATGGTAAGGGACCATAAAGTTTAAGAAAAAGGATTTACAGTATTTTAATGTCATGATAGTTTTACAGGCAAAAATTTATTTTTACGTTCAGTGACTAAAGCACTTTTTGTCGGTTACGGTAAGGGACAGTAAATTTCAAGAAAAAATAATTTACAGTATTTGAATGTCATGATAGTTTTACAGGCAAAAATTTATTTTTACGTTCCGAGACTAAAGCACTTTTTGTCGGTTACGGTAAGGGACAGTAAATTTTACGAAAAAGAATTTACAGTATTTTAACGCCATGATAGTTTTACAGGCAAAAATTTATTTTTACGTTCATTGACTAGAGCACATTTTTTCGGTTACGGTAAGGGACCATAAAGTTTAAGAAAAAGAATTTACAGTATTTTAATGTTTTAATGTCATGATAGTTTTACAGGCAAAAATTTATTTTTACATTCAGTGACTAGAACACTTTTTGTCGGTTACGGTGAAGGACCATGAAGTTTATGAAAAAGAATTTGCAGTATTTTAATGTCATGATAGTTTTACAGGCAAAAATTTATTTCTACGTTCAGTGACTAAAGCACTTTTTGTCGGTTACTGTAAGGGACCATGAATTTAATGAAAAAGAATTTACAGCATTTTAATGTCATGATAGTTTTACAGGCAAACATTTATTTTTACGTTCAGTGACTAGAACACTTTTTGTCGGTTACTAAAAGTAATCTATCGGTGAAATTTTTTTTTTATAATGAATTTTAATCCTCATATTTTTAATGATTAAAACTTTTAGGTGAAGAAACAAAAAATGGTACAAGATCGAAGCGGAGAGCAGCGGATTGTACAATAAAAGGCATGGCAAACTCGTTTATATCTTGTACCAAGTATTCTTCAGGATTATAGTAAGTATATCTTTTAAAAAAAATAAGCACCTAAACTATGTTAACACGAATAATTGCTATAAAATGTTGAGCGAGTGGAAAGAATCAAGTACATTTTGAGTGTTTATTCATAAAACATTATAAGATTTACCAACAGCTCATTGAATTCAATATACACCATTTTTCTTTAAAATATTCAAGAAATACGACAAGTGATAAACTTTAAAAGGCTAAAAAAATGTATTTTATAACTAAATAGGATTCAAAAATAAAAGGTAGGGATAGCCTGCTTGTTAGGGCATTTGGTCCCATTCCAAGAAATTATGAGTTGGGTCCTCGCAGACCGAAGACTCACCGTTTAGTAAATGGTTATTGGCTCACGTTAAATTTGTAAGGTCACAAAGTCCTTCAAGTTCCCATAACAAATCAATACCAATGGGGAGATTGATCGTTCGCAGGTTCTGGTCAAAATTACGATCCATGGATGTATGAATGGGTCCACCTTTTAAAACTTGCTGTGCCGTGTGTGTGACTGAAGTTACATTCTTGGCCACAGATGGCGCCACTGAAAAAACAAGAAATACATCCTTTGCCTTAAATTCGCTTGGTTTCACCAAGCAGGCTTGCTGGTATTGGCAAGTGACCTTAACAACAATGAATGGTAGCAGCTTTTCAGTGAATATTACACTGAACTGCATAGTTGATGGGAAATTATGAATACGAAGGGAATAGAAATTAAAGATGTGTGCGTTTTGTCAATATTTTAAATATTTTATATTTTTCAGGCCAATATTTTTGTCAATATTTACTCGTTTTGTCATTATATTTTGTGTATATTTTGTCAATATGTGCATATTTTGTCAATAATTATTTTTATTTTTGTTCTGAAATATTGGATTTATCTATTAAAGCTGTTATTTGGTCTCCAGGTGCCTTAAAATAGATCAATAATTGAAAAAAAAAAATGAATTTAAGAAAAATAGAAAAAATAAAAATTTATTATTTCATGATTTCTGTTTAGAAAACTAGTGATTTATTCACACCTAGTTTCTATATTAATTAAAGAGAGATAACGCTGTTAACTAAGAAAACTATCAAACATATTTTTTTAAATAAGCACTAATGGCAACCAGTGAAGAGACGAGACAAGAGAAATATTTTAATTTTAATGGTGTGCCATACATCAGTAAACCTTTAACAGTTTATCCAGTAAACGAACTTTGGTATCAATTTTAAAACTTGGGAAGAATAAATCACATAGGATCCTTTACTGGGCGCTCCTTCTGGACATTTCAGTTTCCTTCCATTTTTCTTGACATCATTTTTCATGAATCGTCCGTCACTTTCGGAAAGCCCCTACTTGGGTATAGTTTTATGTTCGTTACAATCATTGGTCACTATAGGGGGAATCTTAACACGACGACGAAATTTTGTGGGTGATAGAACGCATCTACATTAGCAATATTCGTCTTAGAATGTATGATCGGAACACAAGCAGTGAGAAGTTAAAAGATTGTTTTCCACTGTCACATTTAAAGAATTAATGCAAGAATGGGAATAGTTGCTTCAAAAAACTTTTTATTCACGGGAATATAATTGATGCACAATGCGTTAAAGAAAGAAAAATGAATAAAAGAAAAGAAAAATGGACCAGCCTGAATAGCCAGCTGAAACCAGCCTGAAACTAATGATCAGATCTTCACGACCTATGACTCAATCATAATGGCTCGTGGAGGTGACCTCAAATATTCTAATTTATTAGCGCTGACGATATTTTAAGTTACTAAATCAGACACAAAAACGTACTTTCCCTGAGAAAAACATACCCTTTTTAGGACGGATACGGATTTCTGACCCCCAAAATATAGGGAGTAGCCGCCATCTGGGGAATATGGTCTCAATTGTTCGGTCAGGAGAGAGCTCCAAATTTTGGACTTCTTTATTGAAATGCAAAGTAATTTTGAAGTTTCGATTTTCTTAAAATGTACATTAAAATCATTAATATTTTTGGTTTTGTACTTGCACATTTACTTGTACTTTTTATTCGTTACTTTTTAAAATCAACCTTTTTTACCAATTTACTTGTTACTTTTACTTAAAGTAATTGTACTCGTTACTTTTAAAAAATAACGTTCCCATGCACGGCCTATTGCAAGACTCTTTCAAGAAGTAATTGCCTTACAAGTATTCAAGAAATCTATCCTGTTTTTAAATTGGAATTTAATTACATTTTAGCTCTATTGGAGGCATTAAATTTAAAGTGAATGTAGGGCTTTAATTTTTTCTACTTTATTTACAGTAAATGTAAACAGAAGTGTGGTTACGGACATGCAGTGGCACACGATAAAACTAAACGAAAAAGGAATTATAGATGCAAGAAAAATAAATGGAAACCTGAGCCTTTAATTGATTGTAAACGTAAGTATATTTGTTTTTAAGTGAATTGGAAATTTCAATACTTTCCTATTTTGACGCTCATATCATCATAAAAAGTAAATATAAAATTAAGTGTAATAATTAATTTCCCTAATTTTTTTAAAATAAATCAATACTAAATTAAGATTTACGGTTATCGAGGTAGTTCTTAACAAATATCTTGTTTTCAATGAGGTGACTTTTGATCTCAATAAGTATTTATTGTTGTTTAATTTCTAAAAAGGTATTCCACAAACAATTTTAATCCTAGAACTAAACCTATGAAAATAACAAAAATAATATTGAAATTTTTTAATCAATTATGTGACCAAGAAACATATATTGAGCAGTTTTAAAGAAAAAAAAAAGAATTATGTATTAGTATGGATGGCCGAAATTGGAAATTCGAATTTCAACGGTGAATGTTGACATTCGCCTGTGTAAGTAAATAAGGATATTTAGCACATATTTCGGACATACACCAATCGAATAAGTGAAAGTTGGTATTCTCCAGAATTCAGCATTTCACCGTTATTTATACAAGTAAGAATCTGTTGAGAGTCTTTGTCAGAAGTAGTGTCAAAAAGTATAAACGTAAGGGATTGCAAATTAATGTAAAAGCAAGAAATAAGCAAAGGAATCTAAAAATTTAAAAGCTACACTGCATTTTTAGTTTCGACTACCTGGAAAGTATTTCTAATAATAAGTTTACAATCCCTTGCTCTTTTCTTCGGAATGAAAAAAAATACTTTGTGAACTTCATTGTAAAAACTTGAAAACGCATGTATTCAAAATTGAAACAGCATACGTTAATTTGTGAGCAAATCGTATAGTCTCAAAATTAGGAGAAATGAGTAAAAGTTCGTAGGCTGTCAGCGGAATTCAAACCTACGTCATCCGGGTACGTATTTAGATGCTCTTAGTACCATAGTTGTGCAGTGCGTAAAATAATAAATAGATCTACCTATATAACTTTTGATCTAATGATAGGATCATCACGTTGTAGAACTCAATATTAATGGTTACCTCAAATATGCTAATTAATGAGTGCAGACGATATATTAAGTTATGTTATTAGACAGAAAAACGTAATTTCTCTGAATAAACATATAATTTTTTCGACGGATACAGATTTCTGATTCCCGAAATATAGAGAGCAGTCGCAATCTAGATGATATGGTCCCAATAGTTTGGTCAAGAGATCGGTTCAAAATTTGGACTCCTGAATGATAATTTTGCTTTTTGTGTATTTCGCCATCTTTCGAGAACTTTTAAATGTAATTGAAAAAGTTTTGCACGCAATTATAAAATTCGTTTATCTAAGGATAATTCAATTAAAAAATTAGTTTATAGTAAATATTTTTTTAAATTTTATTTTCCATTATTTTATTTAACAACAGCCGAAGAAAATTTTAATTGAGAGGTGTACAATTTTTCATCATTTTAAAGAACGTAATTTTAAATTCCAATACACAAAATTTGAGCGAAATCGGTTGAATAGTTCCTTAGAAATCGAATTTTAAAAATAAGACTTTTTCAGAATTCCAATTTCTCAGGAATTATTCAACCGATTTTGCTCAAACTTTGTATTTTGGAATTTAAAATTGAATTATTTGAAATAATGTACAAATTATATGCCATACAATTCAAAATTTTTTTCGATTATCATGAAATAAAATAATAAAAATAATAAATAATTACTAAATGTTAAATTCTGCGTGGAATTATCTTCGGATGAACAAATTTTATAATTGTATGCGAAAATTTTCAATTCACTTAAAAATTTCTCTAGATATGGTGAAATACGCAAAAAGTGAAATTAACATTAAGGTGTCCAAATTTTTGACAGCTTTCATGACCGAACTATTGAGACCATATTTCCCATCTCGCGAGTACCCCTATATTTTTAGGGTCAGAAATCTGAAACCATCGAGAAAAAGACATATTTATTCAGAGAAAGTGCGTTTTTGTGTCTGATTTCGTAACTGGAAATATCGCCGGCATTAATAAATTGGAATGTTTGAGGTCACCTCCTCGAACCATTAAGATTGAGTCCTAGAGCGCGAAGATCCGATCATTGGACCAAAAGTTATTTAGGGTTGTCAGTTTATTTTGAGCACTGTTGCAACAAGGTTCAGATGATTTAGAAAGCTTTGTGTAGTGACTGCCGCATGACACACCATGCCATTAATTCCATTCATTCAAAAGTTCTTGACATATAACTAAACAAGCAAAAAGTTAAATTAAAATCATCGTAACCGTTATTAAAAGTAAAATTATAAAATTATTATATATCCTTTGCACTATTGAAATTAGAAATTAGTATGTCACGGTGTTTCATTGTGGTGGCCACTATATGAAATTGTTCACTCTGGACTTAAACGTATAACAATGGTGATTAGAGCATCCTACTACAAACTCGAAAGCCCTTGTTTCCAGGCAGCTAATGTCCCGCAGTGGACTGATCGTAAAGACACGGTTCCCAGTAGATCACCGAAGTCAAGCATCACTGGCTACGGTCAGTGTGCGGGTGGGTGACCACTTGGATCAGTCTGCGTAGGGATCGAGGGTGTGCGGTATTGGTCCTCGTTAAACTGTAAAGTGCTCGACTTCGCGCGCAGGTCGTCGGGCTACCGAATCGGGGGTGCCATCCCCTCCGCAGAGGATCAAAATTGTGATGGCATGTCTTCGGATCATCCTCCGGGATGTTTCCCAGACCGTCGCCAATAGCCCATTGTGAAGCTCTAGTGCGACGTAAATTAACAACAACAACAACAACAACCAGGCAGCTAATTAATATCTTTTTCTTATATTTCTTCTTTCTAATCACTTTTGATGCTATGCAGTTTGCTCAGAAATGAGTATATATTGTTTTAATTTTAAAAGCACGGATTTTCTAATTCGACCATTACTTGTTTCGAAGCCATTTCGACAAATTTTTGGGCAATTTTTCTAAACTAAAATTCCGCAATTTCTTGGTTTTAAAAGAACTTTTATATTTTCTCCTTTTAAATGTCGAATTCAGACCCAAAACGTGCATAATTTTTTCAACAAGGCTAATAGAAATAATTATATTAAGGGCGGTCATTATGGAACACCCTGTAAACAACAAAGGAAGTTTTCCTTTTTTTTTATCGATTGTGAACATTTCAATGTAAAATAGAATCGCTTAACTTTTTTTTCTTATAGTTGTTGAATGTAAATCATGATGAAAAAGATTCAAAATTCAGGAATGAGGAAAAATATATCTATACAATTGACAAGCATAATATTTAATCCGTTTTAATATATTCTTTTTTTTTTTTAATTTTTTCAAATCTTGTTCGATTGTTATCAATAGCCTATTCATGCTCATACTTAGCAAATTGAGAGAATCTATAAAAAAGGAAAATTTTACAGCTTTGTTCAGCTGTGACGTGAAATTAAAAGGTCCAGGAAAGCTTCATTGTACTCAGTCAAGTTGGAAACAACCATCCATTTGCTCTATTAAGTGCAGTGGAAAGAGAAAACCGAAATCCTATAAGTGTACAAAGGATCTGAGAAACAATTTACCTAATTGTGCATATGTGAATGAGTAAAAAAGTAAGTTTCTTTTTTTTAAATTGTACATACAGTGAAACCCGAGTAAGTTGACAACTTGCGATGCATTGTTTCAGTAGTCAACTTAGACAGATAGTGAATTTATAGTGGGGGTATTTAATGCGACATAGTTATTTCCAACACAAGATTTATCGTTCAATATAGTACTACACAGTTTTAAATATTCTTAAAAAAGTGTGGGATTTTTTATTAGCCTTATTACTTCAACGATTGATTTTCCAATAGGAGTGCTTATTTAAACTATTTCTCCGAGAGAATATAAATCAATCCCTTTGTTCGAGGAAATATCGTCTACTACATTTTATGTTTGTAAGCAAATATGTTAAATAGTCGCTTTCTCTTGGATTCTATTAATTTGAAACCATATGTACAATATCCCTTTGTTTGAAACATTAACTTTAATTAAATTCGCTTGCTTTAAGCCTATTTATGTAATGAAACTTAAATTTCGTTAAATCTGTATAATCTGTCAGACAAATGTAAAGATAAACGAAGATTTAGAAAAATTGATTTGAATCGTCGAAAATGCTGATAATAACAAAACGTAAACCAACTTTAAAAAGTCATTTAGGATTTTAAATGCGAATTAATAAAATTAATAAATCTTATCAATAAAATCAATAATTTTTTTCAATTTAAGAAACGACTAGAAAACTCCTCACAATTTTCTAGTAAACATTTCCGAAAGACTCTTTATGGCTTGCTATTTTCCAATGTATTTTCTTTACGAAAATACATGCACTAAAACCTGATTTAATTTTGCATATTGTTTAAATGTATTAATATTATATTTCATACACTTATTATCTTTTTTTATTATAGGTTGTCAGGATTGACTTCATTGTAATTCCTCTTATCTCAACAGGAATGCACGATCAGTTATGGTCGCTTATTTTTGCTTTTGTTTAAGTATTTAAGTTTATTTTTTTGTCAAATAAAGATAAAGTTAAATTTTATCCCTGTTTAAATTACGAAGAATTTTTTAATAAAGATAGTTTTTAAAATCATGATCTTTCTTTTTTTTAATAATCAAGAATTATCATTTACACAAACCTGAATTATTGACACATAAAATACGACACATAAGATACAATTTTGTCTCGCATATAAGTGCATTTAATGTAATTCGAATTTTGAAATAAAAAATCAAAATCGTATTTTTAAAATTATCCACACGGGAAAGTTAAGAAAGCAAAATAAATCAAAAATACAATTTCGATACAGTATGATTTCAATACAGTTTGTTTGGCTTCCGCTATCTGTAATAAATTAAAAGAAATCAGCACACAATTTTATTTATTCTTTTTGTAACTAGTAAATTATAGAATTAGTGTAATACTTTATTTTTATTGTTAGTTTTTACGTTATCTAACTCTTTTCATTGCTTTAACTTTGATAGGATATACACAGTCTTATGCATTAAATATAATTAAATAAACACTATTTACTGCAAGTCTATAAATTGATATTTTGATCGATATTTGCGTATTGAGTTTCTTTCAGAGAGCTTCTTCAAAGTAGTGACAAAAATGACAGCGTTTTCAACCTCCATAAATTATGTATAATTTTCCAAAGTTTATAAATAGTTGTAATCTATAGAAAGCTGTTTACTTTATGCAGCTCTTTTTCACAATTTTGATAACGTTAAGGAAACCTGAGTTTCTAAAAAAACATTTTATAAGATTTGAAATGAAAGATGTCTATTTTGTAAACAAAACGTTCACGAATCTGCCTTTTTGATATAGATTTTTAGGTAACAGATTAGATAATACAGATTATAGATTATAAATAGAGTGATGATATAGATTTAATGTATAGATCGATTAATATAGATTTATATAGACAGATTGATTAACATTTTTCAATTTTGTTTGCTCTTAATGCAGATGCATACTTTCAAATTAATACAGAATTCAATAATTTAGGGTTTTGGATCAATATTAGTTATTAGTAATAGTTATTAACTATACTTTTTCAAAAGTGATTTTTTCTTCATAAAATTGTTCTTTAGAACTTTTTCTAGATAAGTCTTAAGGCGTTTTTTAATTTTTTTTTACCAAAAACGCTCTCCTGTGTAATTTGAAAATATGCCTCATTAACACGGCAAAAAAGTTTGGGAAACATAAGTTCACGAATCCCCCTTTTTGACATAGATTTTTAGGTGATAAATTAGATATTACAAATTTTAGATACTAAATAGAATAATATAGGTTTAATGTACAGTTAGATAAATATATATTTAATGTAGAGATAGATAATAGATTTTATATAGACAGATTAGCACTTTGGATATTTATTTGCTCTTAATCCCGATGAATGCTTTCAAAATAACGGAAAATTTAATAAAATAAGGTTTTCAGTTAATATAAGTTATTAGTTACAGTTATAAGCCACACTTTATCATAGGTGATACTTTTACATAAAATTGTTTTTTAGTATTTTTTATAGGTAAGACTTAAGGTGGTCTTCACCAAAAACCTTCCCTATAATTTGAAAAAGTGGCATATTAACACGGAGAGCAAAATTCTGGTAAAATTACCATATTGTATTGTACGGTGATGGCATTTCTGGTGAAAAAAAAACAATTTTTCTGGTAAATAAAACAGAAATTTATGATATCGAAAGACGAAAAATATACTATAGCGTTTACATGAAGTTCTAGTTCATAAAATTATAAACGTTGTTGCCCCAAATTTAATGAAAAATACAAAACTGAAACTCAAATTTAACCCAATAAATGGTATTTATGCCTTGCTCTAAGGTATCATGATAAAATTACCAATTTTTTAATGCATATAAAATTTTATCACATATTATGAAACCATATTTTATTGTTAATTTTACCAAAATCATTACCAAAGCCTTTCAGTAAAAATTACCGAGCGTTTTGGTGTTTCCATAGAGACAGAAATAAGTTAAATTCTCCATATTCGGTTAATTTTGACTATACTTTTTTTCTCAGTGAATATATTCGCATAAGACTTTCAAATATTCAATTGGTCGATAATTGTGAATTCAATTCAACTTTGTTATTTCAAAGATAGAAAATATCAATACTTAATGAAAGATTCATATATTTCATAAAATAATTAAACACAAAAATTCGAAAAAATGAATAATTCGAAAAGGTAATCGGAAAGAAAAAAAAGAAGAGAAAATTTACAAAATTCTTTAAAATTCCTATCGATGATAAATGTTTATTATATATGTTATATTATATGAACTAGATAGCAAAATAAAGTATAGCGAAGCAATATTAAGCATATATTTTGAGAGTTCATCCACTTTTATTCAAGGTTTTATGATTTTGCTTTGCAAGTACAAAGCAGAACATTTGCATAACTTTTGATTTAACGATCGGGTATACTCGTAATATGATCAAATTTACTCGTATTAGAAATGACATTACATTTTCATAGCTCTAGATATAGAGTTTAATAGATGTGATATTCTAAGTCAAGAATATCATATTTTAAGACACTACAAAGAAAAAGGCCATAATTTGGAAGATATTTTATTTATGATTTTAACAAAATAAATTGTTTTTCTCTTTGTATACCTTTTTAGAGACTACTTGGATTTTTGACACTCGGAATATTGGAAAATCTGGCTCCCATACTTTAGTCAGAAGCGATTGAAAGTTTTAGAAACGATTCAAAATCGATCAGAAACGATTTAAAATCTAGCAATAGTGTAAATTTTCTTAATTGTTAAGCATATAAATTTTTATTTTAAATATGCAAATGATGTAAGCTTTGAAATTTTTGCAAACAATAGAAAACCTGTGGGATGTAGAGTAGCCCTTTAGGTAGTTTTTTACTTAAAAGATTAACAGTTAATAGTTTTCGAACTAATTATGGAATGTTAAGTTATAATTATTTTTTGTTTTATCATACTACGGGGTGAATTTCACGTTACGCATTTTTTAATTTCAACACATAGAGAAAAATTCTTGTAAATTATTGAAATGTATGGAAATGGCATTTCTGGTAAAAAAAATCATAATTATGGTTAATAAAACCAAAATATATAGCATCATAATTTTTCCGTTCATATAATTGAGGTTCATCGGAAATTCTGTTAAAAATTATAGTTCTGCTCAAGATTATACTTCTTATTACCACACATTTAGTAAATAATACAAAAATAAAAAGTAAATTTAACCAAATGAATTTTTTTTATGCCATGCTCTTAGGTACCCTGGCAAAATTACTACATTTTACCATATTTACCAAATTTTATCACAGATTCTAAAACCATATTACATTGTAAATTTTAACAAAACACTTCGTAAAAATACCGAGCTTTTTGATGTTCTCACAGAGCCGGAAGTACTGCCACTTAGTTTATTGCTGCTGGGTACACATTATATCCTAAAGGGCTAATCTGTCATTCTCTTGGCCGACAGAACGCCAGGAGCCTCTACGTTGACATCTCGGAATTTCCTTCAGAGTCATGGTGGCTCAAGGGATAGAGCGTATGCCCCCCTCCCAACGAGGTGATCCGAGTTCGAATCCCAGAGATGGCTGGAATTCGAATTCCACACCCGGCTCACGGTGCTGACGTAAATATCCTCAGTGGTAGACAGGCCATCTATTAGAGTCCTCTGGCCCTCAGGCTAACCGTGGGATTTTTTCGTAGTTTTCTTCTCTCTGTAACGCAAATGTGTGTTAGCTGCCTCAAAAAGTCCCCCACGAAGGCAAATTTCTCTCCACGCTTGAACTAAAAGTTCCCTTGCATTCTGAATGGAGTTCAAAATTACAAGGCTACGGAGTGAACATCAGTAGTCGTAAACTCAAAATTGGGTCGGCTGTTTAACGACGGTTATGAAATTAAATAAAATAATCAGTATACGAATTGTTCGCAATCTGTATATGAATTGTTCTTATTTAACTTTTTGGTTAAGCTTGAATATTGCTCATTTGTTACAGCCAACGCTAAAAAAGAATTTTTTTTCGTTTTTGTTGTTCATACGATTTAAACTCTGTGAATTTTATAATTACAGCATTTGCTATTTAACGTTCTTTAATTTTCATGATTAGACTGGATGTTTCATACGAGTTGTAATATTCTCTAATTATTTGTTTTGAGTTTATTAATAGCATTATTTACTGTTCGAGATAGGTATTAGATAATTCCCTTAATATTTTGCTTTAGAAAAAGTACTTATAGTACTAAATGGCCTTTCCAAAAAAAGCAACAATTACTTCCATCATCATAACTACTTATTCTCCGTTAGATGGGGATCTCTGAATAACAATAAAATAAATGGTTTCTTAGTTATGTTTATGGTATTTTCTTTTAGATAAGTAGGCTTTTTGGATGAATCGTATATGTGTATACGTTCAGTAGCTTAGATGGTGTTTCGTTTTTTTTACTAATCTACTATTTTCCTTTATTATATCAAAGGTTAGAAATGAGAAAAAAAAATGCATTAGAACTGATATCTAGTTTCATGTTTAGATTTTTAAACAATTTTTTTTACAATTCAAATGATAAGCAAAATGTAACTTAATAACTATTTATTTCCTTAGCATTTCACAAATTGTTTTTCTTTTTTTTAAATAAAATACATATATATTTTAACTGTTAGAATTATTTACTAGATCTAAAAAAAATATATATTTAAAAAAAACATATTAACATCACTTTATTGAAGAAGAGTAAAGATTTTGTGTTAAATTGTTGAAACAAGAATCATATATATATATATATATATATATATATATATA